AAACTAATAAAGTAAAGAGAGAAGTTTAATAAATTTACTTGAGTTCTATTTGCATGTTGTCATTGTCTTTCTTGACTTTGTTGATTTCATTGTCCAAGTTCTGTTTACAATCCAATCAAACTGATCAAAAACTTCATAATTTTTTTTATAAAAAAAACATTTAAACCAGTACTAGAATAATAGTACTCAAGCTACTTAATCAATCAATCAATCAATATTGATATATATTGAAGACCATATAGGTAGCTAGGTAGTTTTGGTGCTAACAACAATGAAAAGACTTGCAAACAAAAGGAAATAAGAGGGAAGAATTAAGATTTCATTTTCTTGACTAGAAGAATATAACCATCACTCCTTCTTGTTACAATTTTGACTAGGGATAATATAGCTAAAAATGTACATGTTATTTTTAGATCTCTTCATAGAATTGATGTTTCTAATTTCTAACAACAAAATCACCTTCTTCTTTTTTCAAAAGGGGGTCAGTCTATAACCAGTTAAAAGATTGATCTTTCATGTTAAAGGGAAGAAAATCCTAATCTCTTTCTTTTCCTAAAAAGAGAAGCCAAAGAAGAAAAAACAACTTGCTTTTTTCTAGAACTATTTAAAGATAACCCGTTTGGCAGGAAGTATTAATCAAAATAGTTCCTGTGTTTGGTTACTTTATTTGAATTAATCCATGAATTAGTTAAACCTCATACAAGGTCTTATTTATCCCTAGAAAAGGGAGGGATAACTAATCCAATGTTTCACAAACCTTGGATAAGACCCCTAAATGACTAAACTATCCCCCAAACTCTTTTCTTAAATTTCTTTTGTAATTTAATATCCTTTTTTATTTATATTGGAATAATTATAAATGTTCTTTTTAATTTTCCAAATCCGCTCAATGTAATTTGATGATTTCACATACTAAATTTTTTTTCTCCATGTTTGATTTGCTATATTGTTTTTTTTTTTTTTTTTTTGGGTTTTTTAAAAATGTAGTTCGTCCATTGACCACTTGAACTATTTTTATTTTTTTAAAATAAGCTTTGTGTATTTGAATAATTTAAGTAGCCTTAAATTTGTGTTAAGTTTAAGGTATATTTGACCAATAAAAAATTTGAAATATACCATGCTATCAAGGATCTCTATAGTGGCACATCACACCTCAAAATTAATATTAGTATTTAACTTGACTATTAAATCAAATAGAAAATCTCATAATAACTCAAAGGTATAATAGGAAAAAAGCATTTTGTAGAGTTTTTAAACCAAATACAAAATAAGGTGGGAATTAAGTAATGAATCAAACACTTAATAAAAACTAATTCCTATATTATTAAACACTACATTATTAAATTATTAATCTTTGTACCAAACGGCCATGTTTCAAGTGAACCAACTTTGTTTTTAGCAAAATACACATGTTTCTTTAATTTGTTTCTCCCCCCCCCCCCCCCCCCCCCCCTTTTTTCCCAAGAATAGGTAAAAGAAGATGAAATTTGATTCAAGTGTTTCTTTGATTATTTTTTTTTCCTTTTTATCCTTTTTCAAGAATAGGTAAAAGAAAAATATGGAATTTGAACCAAGGGTTTGTTTGATTTTTTTTTCCTTTTTCAAGAATAGGTAAAAGAAAAGATGGAATATGATCCAAGTGTTTCTTTGATTTTTTTTAAATCTTTTTTTTCCTTTTTTAAAGAATAGGTAAAAGAAAAATATGGAATTTGATCCTAGGGTTTGTTTGATTCCCCCCCCCCCCCCCCCCCCTCCCTTTTCAAGAATATGTAAAAGAAATGATGAAATTTGATCCAAGTGTTCCTTTGATTTGTTTCTCTTTTTTTTCTCCACCTTTTCAAGAATAGGTAAAAAGAAAAGATGAAATTTTTAAAGGGTTTTTAGTTGACCTCATGCTTAGCATCCCACAATATTCTCCCAGTAAGCTTGTGGTATTGATCCAATAATCACACCAAAATTTCTTAGACAATGAAAAAGAACAAGGTTAAATATGATGATTAAAAAATAAACAAATTAAAGGAAGATAACCTACGGAGTAGATGAGAATTCATGCATCTATCCAGAAGTAGAAAATATGATAACAGAAACATGAGCATCACAAAGAACACTAATTTCCTTAGCCTTTTTCAAGATCCCATTTCTTCTCTTTGAGTATGTTACTTGTTTGTTGCTTGAGTTTTCTATTCTCTTGATCTCTATTTTTCCTCTCCCCATTTCTTTTTTTCTTTTTCTTCCCTTATATGTGTTGTGTTGTTTTTACCTTTAGCTGTAAGTATATAAGAAGAAATGAATGGGAGTATGTCTAGTAAGGGATTGACAGACAATCAACTTTCTTAAGTTTAGAAACAGTTTGTATTTTTTAAGGCATTTGACAATGCCAATCCATCTGTATCAATAGTATACATCATTCTACGCTGCATCTTTTAATGATGCAGATTCAGATATTCAAGATCGACAACAGACACATCATTAGGATCACCTTCATCCAATTTTGGTGAGACCTCCTTACTTTCGGAGGGCTCATGTTTATCTTAAGTATTTATTAGTTAGCATATGATGTTAGTAAAATATTTAGATTGCCTAGGATTTTGTCTCAGTAATAACCTATCTTTAGTAGGTTAGAGAGGCTTCATAGACTAATAAGTTGAGTTATGAATATCACCATTGTTTTACAAGTATATACAAAGTATACATATATCAAATTTTCAACAATAAAGTTATTGAAATTGTTTTCTAAGTTATTGCATTGCATGCTCATATTTAAAAATTTCCGCATTAGTTAGTATTCGGTCTTATACTATGCCAGAACAAGGGTTCGCTAAGGCCAACAATGATTCAAAGGGCCGAAATTTAACCCCTTGTCTAAGTCCTTGTCTAAACCTTTTGAATAGATTCATCATCATCTTCATCACCACTATCGATTGAAGCACCAATTCAATTTCGAAAGCTTCTTCTAGGAGAATTTTTTTATCCTCCATTAGGCTATGCACTAAGAACAAACTAAAGCAACAAAATTCATGTAAGAAATCAACGAGATTCAAAGAAATGTTGAAATGAGAGTTAGTCCGGCACCAAAATGGACACTTTTTGAATCATATACACCAAAATGGACCCTCTCTAAAAACACACACCAAAACGGACAGTTCCCCCATTTATGGGCGAACTACAATTCTTTTTGTTAACCCTCACCTGAATATATATATCTCTTACTTCCTCACGTGAAACTATATCTCTTTCTTTAACAATAAATATGGGTTATTCACTCCACATTTTCTCATTCATCTTCTACTTTTTTATACTTTATATTTTGATTTTTGACATTTGATAGTCATGTCTCAACAATCCGAAAAGTCTGTATATTCAATTGAACAAGATGATTATAAATGCAAAGAATATTGTAAAATAAAAACATCGAGGACTCCAAGAAATTCCGGTCGTAAGTTTTGAAGTCGTGCACGTTTAAAGGTAAGAAAATTAGGTTGTTCACTTACAAATATTTGGATATTCACTTGATTTCTTGTTTTGTTATTCTAGAAAAATGATGGATGCGATTATTTTTTGTGGGCAGAAAACATGCTCATAAATGAAACTAACACCATTCTTTCACGGGTGAGGAGTCCCTCTTTCGACGGTGATACAACACACACATCAATAAGAAATTTGTAGAAGATAGAGATCTTTTAAGGAATTCATTTTATCAAATATATCAATTGGTGTGTGAAGTAGCTATATCACCGTCGAAGGAGCGTCTCCCCATCCGTGAAAGAATGATGTTAGTTTCGTTTGTGAGCGTGTTTTCTGCCCACCGAAAATAATTGCACCCATCATTTTCCTGTAATAACAAACAAGAAATCAAGTGAATATCGAAATACTTTTACGTGAACAACTTAATTTTTTTTTTTACCTTTGGACACGCACAACTCCAAAACTTATGATCGGGATTTCTTGAAGTCCTCGATGCTTTCATTTTACCAAACTCTGTGAGTTTACAAACATCTGGTTCAATTGAATATATATACTTTCTTGGAATGTTGAGACATTGCTATCAAATTTCAAAAATAAAAAAATATAAAGTATAAAAAAGTAGAAGATGAATGAGAAAATGTAGAGTGAATAAATTGTTGAAGAAAGAGATATAGCTTCATGTGAGGGAGAAAGAGATATATATCCAAGTGAGAGTTAACAATAAGAATTGCAGTTCGCTCGTACCTTTAAGATTTGTGTAATATTTATTTGGGTGAATTTGGAGTTAACGGAGACTACGACGTTAAAAGATGGAAGATGTAGTTCGCCTCTATCTGTTTTGGTGTGTATTTTTAGAAAGGGTCCCTTTTGATGTTCAGAATTCAAAAAGTGTCCATTTTGACGTCCGACTCAAATGACAGTAGAAGGATTAAGCCAAAAAAACCCTTAAAATGTAGAAAGAGTGTAGGAGATGATGCGCGGCTCTTTTCCCCCAAATTGGAAAGTGTTTTAAAAAAAATAAAATAGCATGTATATTTTCCCTATTAAATAAAAGTATTGTAACGTATCGCTATAGATGATACTAAAATAATTATAAGTTTAAATGTAATGAATATTAATTTAAAGCACCTAGTAATTTTTCCTTAAATATTTACCTTTGATCTCAACTGACAACTAAACACTCAAACTTGTTCCTATTATGTTTCATGGACATCCGACATTGATGCATGACACATACATTTTAGAGGTGCCTAGATAATCATTTTACTAGTTGGAGTGTTTATATGACTCGGTTAAGACGAGTTGAGGTGTCTAGATATACATACTCAAAGTTGGAAGTGTTTCCTGAGGCCAAGCTTGAGTAGCGTATGAAGCAACTTAAAAAGTGGCAACAAAGTAAAATGTAGAACTGCAGGAATCCAACTTCAGACGATGTAAGAATTGAACTTCAAACACTGTCCTAGAGTTCACTAGGTACAGGTTTTGAACTCTAGGACACGATCCTGAAGTTTCACTTGTAACATAAGTGTAGCACATGAACAATGAAGTCCCAATAGATAAGTTAAATCAAGGTTTAAATAGGGGACATAAGAACGATCCCCGTTATACACTTCAAAAAGTTCATCCCTATTTTCAATTGGATTTCCAATAATGGCTGGAACAGAAACCATGCCCGCCTGATACGCAACTATTAAGTTTGTTACTACTTTTCAATGCAAATATACACTGCAATTTCTGGATTCCCTTACCGAAGAGACCTAAAATGCTAAAAATTTTACGCCTTAGAGCAAGATTGTAAGAATTTACACTCACGACAATTCATTGATTTCCAATGGCTATTTTTCCCTGTCGTTCTAGCTCATATAACATGTGAAGTGCCGCTGAATCAAGTGAACTTTTCTTATCAGCTCTTTCATCCCCGGTAAGCTCTATCAAACCATAGTCAGGTATTGTCAGCGAGATTTGAGATGCAAAAGTGTTGTAAACCTTCCTTTTATCAGAGCCTTCACCACATTCAATAAGTGATCTGGCCAGAATTTACACTCAATAAGCAACAATCTAAGAAACAGTTTGATAAAAACTAGAAGGAAAGAACTGGTTAGCACATAAACTGGTTTTACTTACTTGGATGTACGCTCTATTGATTCAAAACTAGGCATTGGCCACTGCAGTTTCTTGCATAGTTCAAAGAGTGATATGCGAGGTCCACCCCTTTTCATGTTGATTGGCCCAATTACTGCCAAGTAAAAGAGAGAAGACCATTAGATCCAAAAGTGTTTCAGGTGATGCACATCAGCAGACCTTCTGAAAACTAACTTTTCTTTAATTATCTAACTTTGGCATATATTCTGTCAAATCAAAAGGCGGGGAATGGTTACAATGGCTTAAAAACATATTTATGAGTTTTCATGTTCAGAGAACTATGTACATTGTTAAAAAGGAGTAAGATTCAGGAGCAGAAACTCAGGTCATTCTGAACCACACTTTCCTTTTCTAGGAAATGGAATTAAGGTGAAGCAGTGTGGATATTCAAGGTTAAGAGACTCAGAAGCCCCATTATGTGTTGGTGAAACTTATCGAACTAGGTATTCCAATTACTTCGAACTTTCAACTTCAAGGACTTATTTTCCCTCATTATGCAACACTTCACTGGCGAGGGACTGATTATTTTACCGAAAGAGTGACATAAAACAAAGAAAAGAAGGAAAACAAACAACCATAATAAAGTAATGCATGGTTACATTAAAAATTTAAATCTCTAAGATAGATAACCATTATTTTTACACAAGGGAATTATAAGATTCTGGAAACTGCCTCGACAAAAGTTTCAATCCAAGTTTTTGCTGGATTCACAAGGAGACAGGTGCAAGATTCACCAAGAAGACAGGTGGATGCTGGGGCTTTTCACATTGTCACAGAAAGAAGTTGATAGATAGCTGAAAAACAGGAAGCTCTGGAGAGGCTTAAGGGAAAGACTTTGAGCACTATTGCTTCACGATTCTGCTGCTCAGAGGAGCAAATGGGCATTGGTACCTATACCATGTGCCTCAGATTGTGATACTTTGGGAAGGGACTCTCATTGGACAAATCTGACGAAGAAGACTGATTTGAGAGGTAAGAGGGAGCAAAGTATTCGTAAGGTGAAATATTTCGAGAAAATGATGAGGAAACTGGGAATGGAAGGACCAAGGCAAGTATAGAAATAAGAGGTAAAAATGATCCTGGGAAGCAGAAATTGACCCATGACTAATGAGCTAACCTTTTGATATCCATGCAAAATGAAGAACAGCAAGGGAGACGAGTGAGGGTATTGAGGGGAGAGACAGCATCAAAGGGAGATTGAAATCTCAGGAAAAAGGTATTAGCAAATGGTTTGAAGCACTTGTGGCAGTCTAGTTAATGCAGATGTTTGTCAACCTTCTGCAAAAAATAGGATACGTATATTCTATACTTCTGTATGGATCCTTTAGGCAGGAAATTCTCTCTTCAATCAATAAGTCTTATTACCTTGTAAATAAAAGAAATGCATAAATAGAAACTTTAGCATATTCAGAGGAAGTCACTTCTCAGCATATAATGATCTAAACAGAAATGTAGCAAATTGTAATAGAACTATAGGAATTATCGCTTGATTTTTATTGACAAAGCTATAAATCCTCAACACTTGATATATATTCAGTTGTGACTAGAAAATATGATCACTCTCTACTACTATGCAATCAAAAAAGGTTTCCTTTGCTAAAATTATGTCATATCACTTTTTTTGGGAGGGTATATTGTCTGAATAGTGGAAGGTGTAAGAACAAGAGGGGACGACCTTGGGTAGGATTTGAACACAACACCTATATATACAGGGCAGAGCTGCGACTATTAGGCGTCAACGTCAATACAATGCATCATACTCCCTCCATCTCAATTTGTTTGTCTTACTTCCTTTTTAGTTTGTTTCAAGAAGAATGTGTCTAATTTCAACTTTCCACATGATATGTTTAAGATCACAAGATTAAAACACATTTTGGTACATTCTATGTATCTATAGTTTAAAACCACACGATTCAAAAGTTGTTGTCAAGTCAAAACCAGACAAACAAATTGAAGCGGAGGGAGTACTTGATTTCAAATCTGATGGACTTTTTCAAGGATACTGATTGTTGTTTGTGAAGTATCATCTTGCCACCATATTAGAATGGTAGTTTATTCCGCTCTCAAACAAGATAATAAGTGTAACTACAGAATAATATGTACTTCGCCATTCTAAAAATATTTTACTTAATTACATATAGCCCTTTCCAAAAGTGTTTGGCCCCTTCTCCTCAATTACATATAAAGTTAAAATAATAAAACCTGACTCAAAAACTTAAAAAGTTCATCTAATGAGATTGAAATAGTGTTGCGCTGAATTTGATAAGTTGATATAATGATATTAAAACAATATTGATTGGTTGCAGTGCTTGACATTTAAGAAGACACCAATTTTATTTTATTTTGATCTTTTTATAATGACATAATAATATATTTTACAAAATGCAAAAGGTCTGACCATTTGGGAGACTTAGAATAATCAATAATGAGAGAATTAAAATAGTGAAAGGGGAATAAAATAGGTAAATATAAGAATACTAATGTGGGTTCATGATAATCGCTAGGATATAAATGAGACAACAAAATAGGTAGTCACTTAAGAAAGGATGCTACAATTAATTAACTACTATTCCATTTCTCAATTATTACAGCAACCCACCCATTAAATGAGGTAAAAAGTTACTAAATTTTCCACCCAAAAAATCATTTCCAAATTTATCAATACATGCGATTTATATATATAAATAATACATCTTTAGAAAAAATGGCTCCCCCAATTGTCATAGAAGAAATAAGAATTTTCGTTTTGCTACAGTAACTTCGAGCACATACCTTGGATGTCCTTATTTGTATAACTAGCACTGGTGGAGCAGTCACTGGGAACAGGTTGAGCTTCATCTGGCTTTAAATTCAAATATACTTTCTTTCGCTTTTTGCGTGAAGCCATATCAGGACACGAAGTATTTGCTTGGATGCAGATGTCACCATCAAAGTCTAAAGATTGTGGCACATCAACAAAGCTGGCCTCTTCTTTTTTCTTCTTGGATGAAATTCCTTTTTTCTGTTGTTAGAAAATGAGGGTCAATGTGAGAAATAACTCAATTGAAAGCTTGGATAACCGGCAATACATAATTGAAAAAGAATTCACCCAGTCAATTCTAGATGGGAACTTCTAAAATCTAGTTCAACATTAATTGTAATGGTCATAACAGAGAATAAAGTAGTGTTATCAAGCAAGATCACACCATGTAATACAGATCTATGGTGAGTTAGTCACTGATCTTTCAGCAATATATAATGCATGCAAGCACATAAATTATTATCAACAAAAATTGTTAGCAACTCAAGGGAATCCATTAAACACAGAAAATTCTCTTTCCAAATTAGGAAAAACTGCAAAGAATAACTTCCTTCATAAGCTAATTTTGATTAAAAAATAATAATTTAAACACCTAGTTATTTCCGCATTCTTTTTCTAGCTATAGTACTTCGATAGACATCAGATGACTTGGAAGGCAACCAACTCATTAGTCTCCACTTGAACCCAGAAAAGAAAAATCAATTTCAGAAACAAATGATTAAAAAAAAGAGAGAATGGCCTGCTGACAAGAAAGTTTAACATTACAACACCAGTAGTTGCAATGGTAACTTTCACGAACAAAAGTACCAAAACGCCTATCATGATTTTCTTTCTTCTCATCTTTCTAAGGATGTTCCTATCACACGAATTATGGCCCATTAATGTCAGAAAAAAGTACCATACATAGGATGAGAATCATCTTCCTGGCTATGACATACCTCTAAGTTCTTCAGTAACTTCAGAGCTGCTTGCGCCTTTGCATTTTTTCTAGTTTGTCCAGATCCCTCAGCGACCAGCAGATCATCTTTCAGCTGTAACCTAAGCTCAGCATTCACGGTATCCCCCTTCACCACGCAATGTTCTTTCCAGAAGTAGCCAAGTGAGTCACATAATTCTATGAGCTCACGCAACGGAGGTAGTTCAAGCTTATCAGGAGTCACGATGGGAGACAATAGTGGCTTGAAGATCTTCCAAACTTCATCCAGGTCAAGTTTGGTATCAATAAGTACTGCACCAGCAATACTCTCCACCAAGTCTCCAAGTACCTATGACAAATTAATATCCCATGAATACAAACAGCCTGCTCTAAGCATGTGACAGATAATAGTGGATTAATGTGGCATATGTTCAACAATGTTGTATCCTAGGGACACATTCCAAGTCTACAGTTGGCATTGAGATCAATAACATATGGTAACAGTGACATGTCAGTGGAGCAACAATAAAAGAACCTTTGGGGCTTTGTTTCCTTGGAGTGAACAAGAATTAGAGACTGACTTCACAAACAATGATATTTCACTTTCAAGATATCCAGAATGATGTTGAAGGTGGACATGAAGATTCCTTCTCACAGCAGCATAAGCGAAATTATCATTATTGACAGAAGCAGAACGCAGATCTGTTAGTTCCCCAGGATCAATATCTTTATGCTTCTGGTAAAGGTACCAGGTAACGAGAATGTCCAGTACTGAGTCGCCAAGAAATTCAAGCCTCTGTCACAGATTTGACAAAAAGAAAAAATGTAAGCTGACAACAATGTAATTTCTTAAGAGAAACATGTTTAATATGATGTATAATCAGTATTACTTGATAATTATATCAAAATTAGGGATTACTCTTCAACTAACCTGATAACTGTACCCAGCGTCCAGCTCTTGCACAGTAGCATGTGTTATAGCTTCTAGAAGCAGTCCCTTAATAGAAAATCTATAGCCAAGTTTCAACTCAAGGTCTTCAATATCTTTAGCTTTAGGGGTATAAGAATAAAGAGATGCAGTATTGATCGCATCCTCTACTAATGAAGGTTCTAGCTCAGCTTTAACACCAAGCCATTTCATCAATTTGAGGGCAGCAACAAACCCACCACCAACGTAATATGCACCTATTAGCGCTTCAACACAGTCAGATATTGTTTTTGAACCCATCCATCTGTGTCCTCTATCACAGTGCTTCCCAACTACTTCTTTGGGATCTTCAGTCAGAAACTTCTTGTCCAAAGGCACTTGTGAAGTTTCAACCCCGTGCTCACAAGGACAAAGCCGCAGGGAAAGCTGCCCAGGAGCAGTCCATCGGCGTGGATCAAATGCACCATCCCGTATATAACCCTGTAATTAGACAGGTAAAGCATGATTAAAAGCAGACGAGTGTAAAAGGTAAGCTTCAGTCAAGTGGAAAGGATACAACATCCACGTTTCTTTGAAGAATCATCAACAAAACAAGAAGGATTCCACTAGCACAAGCAAAATAAATGTTGCCGTTGAAGACTATCCACGACTGAAAGAATGAAATGTTGCCAACCATCCACATTGAATTTGGACAAACTGAACCAAACAAAATAAGTTATACTCCTCGCCCCACACACACACACCAAAAAGAAGAACCCATCTCAAACAAGCCTGATTTTCAGTAAGTTTGTTTGCACTACCTGCAATAGTGTCGTCAATATCTTATACTCATACCATACATCAGTGACCATTTTAGCTGGAGAAGGAAATATATGACACCTAGTTTCATTTTTACCTCAAGAATAAAGTTAAAAAATGAACTAGTTAAGATATTATATATTTACATTCTTGACTGGATTTAAGAAATTGTCTTCAAGTAGTTCTTTTTCCTGAAGTACGGAGGCAAAGCTTTACATACCTGCAAATGTTGATTAGTTCCCAATTTATGGAGGGCTGAGTTACTAATAGCCTGTGAACGTTCATTAGTTAGCTGCCCTTCATGCTTCTTGGGATACTTAAGGAAGAGGTGACAACTAACAGCATACTTCAGAACTGAATCTCCAAGCAACTCCAGACGTTCCATGGAGAAACTCTCATTGCATCTGAGAGTTGTAAGAGCTTCCAGAATCTGACCGTGAAAGACATTTAGTTAGAAAAATGCCAAATGTAAGTCATCTAATTAGCTGAGCAAATGATAGGACGAACCAATGAGCTTGATATATGTAAGTCGCCTGAATGGCTTGATATCTCTTTCCTCAACTGGCTAGCCAACATCAGGGACTCCAGGCGGTGCATTAATGATGGTAGCAAGTAGAAGGATTTCAAGATGTCTAACCGAATGTCAAAACAGACCAGAAGTTCTGGTGGCATGTGAACATTATTCAGTGGCTTTTGAACCACCATTGTACTATCTTTTGATTTCGGTCCACATGAAATGCCTGCTTAAATAATCTCCGAATATCAGATTCATGTAATCCGAAACATTTAGCCCAGTGCACTCACTAGGTAGCTAGCAGTGACAAGTTCAATGTAGATCAATTCTTTCTAGAGAACTCAGGTAGAACTTTAGCAAGTTGAGCTTGAAAGGTTATCTTCAAGTGGTGAACTTTTACTCCCAATTAAAAATGTAAAATGTATGATTGTAGAGATGTTTTAACAAGAAGTTCTGTAGCAGATGTTTACAAATTACTAATCACACAAGACTTTTCAGCAGAAAGTCCACAACTGCCTAAAGTAAATTCAGTTGGATATACTACAAGACCTAATTTATTTAAATGATTAAAGCTTTAGTGACAACGGCAAAAGAATAGTAATATCTAATATATAGAAAGAGATTATGAAGGATGCATGATAATGTCTTTTTGCAGTTGCTGAATTCAATTAGCCTATTTGCAAGCTTCTTCCACAAAACAGCAAATGCACACAGAAGAGTCAACAGTCAACACTGTTGATAAGATTAAAGTCTGGGAGGAGCTAGTGACAGAGCCTGCTGAGATACAAAAGGAGATCATAGAGTACTATGAGAAGTTATATGTTGAAAATGAGGACAGGAGACCAGACTTAGAAATGAGAGAGTATCCTATGATTGATGAAAATGACAATAACCAACTGATGGCCCCTTTTGAAGCACATGAAATCCTGGAAAGCATCAAAGCGTGTGCTGGGGACAAGGCCCCTGGCCCAGATGGCTTCTCCATGGCTTTCTTTTGCCAGTGTTGGGAGTCATCAAAAATGAAGTGGTGGCAGTAGTTCAAAATTTCTATAAGGTAATTGAGAAGAGTATAAACTACTTTTGTGGCCTTGATACCCAAGAAGACAGGGGTTGTGGAACTAAATGACTTCAGACCAATTAGTCTAGTAATAGGAGTGTACAAGATAATTGCAAAACTATTGGCTGACAGACTGAGAAAGTGATACATAAGCTAGTGGACAGACAACAAATGGCTTTTATCAAGAATAGGCAGATCATAGATGCAGTATTGATAGCCAATGAATGTGTTGACTCCAGGGAGAGAGATAAACAATCAGGGATCTTATGTAAACTGGATATCCAGAAGGCATATGATCATTTGAATTGAAACTTCCTGATGAATATGTTGAAAAGGATACGATTTGGACCAAAATGGCTAAAGTGGATTAGACAGTGCATAAGCTCAGTGAAATTCTCTATTCTGATCAACAGAAGCCCATGTGGCTTCTTCTCATCATACAGAGGTCTGAGACAAGGGGACCCTTTATTCCCTTTTCTCTTTATCTTGGCCATGGAAGGGCTGAGCAACCTATTTCAGACTGCAAAAGTCAAGGGCTGGATCAGAGGTTTCCAAGTGGGGAATAATACAAGTAACAACCAAGAGATTACTCATCTACCGTATGCAGATGACGCTCTAGTATTTTGTGATGCAGTAGAGGAGCAGATGCTGATTTTGAGGGTCATCTTCAAAATTTTCGAGGCTATTTCAGGTCTGCACATAAACTAGAGCAAGAGGTTCATCTATCAAGTCAACACAATGATAAGTATTAAAGACTTTAGACAACAAACTAGAGGGAAAGTGGGTGAATTACCAACAACCCACTTGGGAATGCCTTTGGGGGCTAAAAGCAAGTCAACAGAAATATGGAGTGGAGTAATTGAATGTGAAAGGAAGCTAGCAAACTGGAAGTGTCAATATTTATCTTCAGGTGGCAGACTAACTCTAGTTAATAGTGTCCTGGATGCCCTTCCCTCGTACATGATGTCATTATTCCATATACAAGCCAAGGCGACCAAGAGTTGGATGCAATTAGGAGGAACTTTTTATGGCAAGGAAGCGAAGATAAGAGAACGTACCATTTGGTCAAACGGGAGGAACTGCTGTAAGTAAGAGCGGGGGTGGACTCAATATCAGAGAGTTGAGTACCCAAAACAAGAGTTTGATGATGATTAGAAGAGAGTTGTGCAGTGCAGTGTATGCTTCCTGTGATACTGTGACTAGAAGAGAGTTGTGGCAAGAGTTGAGCAACATCAAGGAGGTATGTAGTGACCCGTGGGTATCTTGTGGTGACTACAATGTCACAAGGTACCCAAATGAAAGATCAGAGGGGCACAGAATAACAGGGGACATGCAGGAGTTCACGGAATGGATAAATGCGATGGAATTCATGGATCCCCTTCTTCTGGGGGATTCTTTCACTTCGAGAAGAGGAGATGGCCATAGCTCAGCTTCCAGAACTGATAGGTTTTTGTATTCATCTCAATGGGATGAGTCCTTCACTCAAATCAAACAGAACTTGTTGCCCAGAATAGGTTCTGATCATAACCCCATCATGCTTGATTGTGGGGAATTGAATTCGAACAAGTCATATTTCAAATTTGAACAATGGTGGCTGAGGGTGGATGGTTTTGCTGACAAGGTTAAGGAATGGTGGTTTTCTTTCAATATAAATGGCACAGATTCTTACATCTTAGCTACTAAACTAAGGATACTGAAACAAAAATTGAAAGAATGGAGACTGACACATAGAAATGATTGGAAACATAAGGAGGAGGAAATCTTTCACCAGTTAGCAGAGATGGAAAAGACTCAAGAGCTGAGCTGAGATTACTCTCAGAGGATGAACTACTCCAAAAGGTTCATGTAGCTATGGAATTTGAGGAGGTTACTAAACAAGAGGAAATAGCTTGGAGAGAAAGATCTAGAATACAATGGCTTAAAAAAGGTGAATAAACAAAAAATTTCCATTGGGTTGCGACAGCTCACAAAAGGTTTAATTCTATTGACACTTTGGTAGTGGAAGGAAACTCTATCTCAGATCTAGAAGAGATTAAAGGAGAAATCATGATAAAAAGTTGTACACAGAGACTGAACCGTGGAGACGGAGTTTAAGTTGCAAGGCTTGGAAACTATTAGTGAGGAAGAAAGAGATTGGTTGCAAACTTACTTTGAGGAGGCTGTAGTTTAGAAGTGCATCAAGTCATGTGCCAGTGACAAGGCTCTTGGCCCTGATGGCTTCCCCATGTGCTTTTATTAGAGTTTCTAGGAGGTGCTTAAGTTTGCTTTTATGAATGCAGTAAACCAATTTCATGAGAGACACGAGTTTGAGAGGAGCCTCAATGCCACCTATGTGGACCTTATTCCAAAGAAGCCATGGCAACTGAACTTAGAGACTTTAGACCAATAAGTCTTATTGGTGGAGCTTATAAAAAATTTGCCAAGCTTCTGGCAGAAAGAGTGAAAAAAGTAATCAGCAAGCTAGTCAACAAACATCAATTGGCCTTCATACAGGGCAAATAGATCCTAGATGCAGTGTTAGGACCGAAATAAGCAGGTGTAATGCGGAAGCTAACAAAGCGAACCTCGAAAGACCATGAGTAAGAAGACACATGAGAAAACACACCAAAAGACACAAAAATTTAACGTGGTTCGGTCAATCGACCTACGTCCACAGAGGAGATGAGCAATCCACTATAAATATGAGAGTACAAAATATAGAGAGAAATAACCTCAACCAATTCACTCGGAATACAAGGAGGTTCACAAATTCTCCCCTATAACCGCAACTCTCAAAACCCTAGGACTACATTGTGAATGTTGATTAAGTTAGAAGGAACAAACCTATATTTATAGAGTCCTAAAACCTTTCCTACAAGAAAAGGACTAGTAAAATATTAAAACCTTTTCTTAAAAGGAAAACTTATTTATGATAAAAAATCAGGGCAAATAAAACCCAACATGCAGCTCTAATAGCTAGTGAATGTGTAGATTCAAGGATTAAAGGTGAAACCCCAAGAATCATGTGTAAGCTTGATATTGAAAAGGCCTATGATCATGTGAACTGGGATTTCCTTATTAACATTTTGAGACAAATGGGGTTTGGAGAGAAATGGCTGAAGTGGATAGGATTTTGCACTAAAACTGTCAGGTTCTCTATATTGATTAATGGAGAACCTGCTGTTTTTTTTTCCCTCGGAAAAGGGGTTGAGGCAGGATGATCCTCTTTCTTCTTTCCTCTTTATTCTAGCTATGGAAGGACTTAATAGCATGATAAGGGTGGCCACTTAAAAGAAATGGTTAAAAGGGTTCAAAGTGGGCAACCAAGCTGAGAAGATCTATAAATTTGCCAATTACTGTGATCTTTTGTGAGGCCAAGGTTGAGCAGGTGTGTTTCATCAGAATAATATTAGTAATCCTTGAGGCAGTGTCAGGGATTTTTGTGAATTGGAGAAAAAGCAGCATGTTTCAAGTCAAGGAAGTAGCTAACATCCGGTGTTTAGCAATATTTTGAGTTGTAAGATAGAAGATCTCCCAACTAGATATCTGGGGATGCCACTGGGTAACAACCACAAAGAATTAGAAATATGGGATGGAATTGTGGAGAAGATTTGAGAAAAAGTTAGCCTCCTGGAAGACACAATACCTATTTCTGGGAGGAAGAATAACAATGATCAATTTTGTCTTGGATGCTCTCCCTACTTATGTTATGTCTCTCTTCCCCTTACCTACTAAAGTGGAAGACAGATTAGATAAACTAAGGAGAGATTTTCTTTGGTTGGGCAACAAGGAAGGAAAGGGAACTCACTTGGTCAAATGGCAAACTGCTCAACTAATCAAGAAATCGGGTGGTCTTGGCATTAAGAATCTAGGTCTGCAAAATAGGTGTTTACTGTCAAAATGGCTATGGAGGTTTTGAAAAGAGGGGCAGGCTCTGTGGAAGGATGTTATCGTTAGCAAGTATGGACAAACAAATTCATGGACCTCCAACATTGTGACCAACACCTATGTGGCCTCAGTTCAGAGGTCTAAAAAAATGTGGCCAAAACTAGCTAGGAGCTACAAGGTGGTTGAGGGGACTAGGATCCTTCTATGGAAAGACAAGTGGATAGGACAGAACTCCCTCATGGAGAACTTTCCAGATTTGTACTCTTTTTGAAACAACCCTGGAGCATCTATTGTTGAGATGTGGTCTCGGCAAGGGAGGAATATAAAGTTTAGAAGGCTCTTAAATGACTGGGAGGTGGATGGAGTGGCCAACTTACTGCAAAGGTTGGAAGATTTTCCGGGACTCAACACTAATCCTGATGCAATCAAATGGAAACATGATAGGGATGGGGAATTTTCTGTTGGAAGAATGTACCAAAGAGACCTGGCAACACATCCGAGGGGATTTTTGGACCTTGAAAATAAATCTGGAAGTCCAGCACTCCAACCAAGATAAAGTGTTTCACATGGTCGGTGTGCAGAAGAGCATGCCTAACTCGGGAGAGACTGAAAAAAAGAGGATTTCAGATTGTTTCTATGTGCTTCTTCTGCCATGAAAAGGAGGAAACAAACAACCATTTGTTCCTTCACTGTAGAGTGACTGCCCACTTATGGTTTAAGTTTCAAAGCCTTATCCAAGATCCTTGGGTGGTGCCTGAGCATACTGCAGACCTACTAAGCTGTTGGATGAAAAGAGGGGGGAGTAAAACATAGAAAAGTGGAATCTAGTTCCATCTTGCATATGGTGGTCAATTTGGAAGGAAAGAAACAATAGGTGTTTTAAGAATATTACTAACCCAATGCAGAAAGTAAAAGAAAACTGCATTAATACTCTATATTTTTGGTGTAAAGAAGAGGCTATATATGAAGTAGATCAGTTACTAGATTTCCTAGGCTCTTTGTAATCATGACTACTTTGCCTTGGAATTTTTTGTTTGGTTGCCAGCATACCCTCATTGCTGATGAATACAACTTTACCATTCTCAAAAAAAAAAAACAACAAGAGTTTGATGATGAAATGGCTGTGGAAATTTGTCTCACCAGAAGTATCTCTATGGAATGTAGTAATAATAGAAAAATATGGCATAGAGAATAAATGGATGACAGAGGTGGTGACCAACCCTTACAATTGTAGTGTATGGAGGTCTATCAGGAACCTATGGCAACTGGTCAAGGAGAGAAGAAGTTGCAAGGTGGGCAATGAAGAAAAAGTAGCCTTTTGGAATGACATTTGGTGTGGACAAGAGGCACTCAAACATGCTTTCCCTATACTACATAGTCTGAACCAAGCACAAGAAGCAACAGTGGCAGAATTATGGACAGGACAAGGGTGGAACCTGTTTCTGAGAAGGAACCTAAATGATTGGGAAATGACAACCATATCAAAATTTCATGACACAATGCATACGGCTACCAATCTGACAGGAGAGTAAGATAGACTAGTATGGAAGGGGGAGAGAGGGGGAGAGTTCACTGTAAAATCAACATACAGAGAACTCAGGTCTACAGAGGTGCAGCATGCAAGATGGCCCTGGAGGATGATCTGGAGAACAGAAATTCCCTACAAGGTGAATTACTTCACATGGCTCTTGGAAAAGGAGGCAGTCTTGACACATGAGAACTTGAACAAGAGAAAATCCAATCTATGTTCTAGATGCTATCTATGTGAAGAACAGGTGGAGACAGTTAACCTTCTCTTTTTACACTACAAATGGACAGATCAATTGTGGCAGATGTTCATCCACAAGAGGAAGATCAAGTGGACAAAGCCTGGGAGAATTATAGAAGTCCTACAATGCAGCCATGCAGGAAAAAAGGAGAAAAGATGTAGGACTGTCCCAGCTTGCATTTGGTGGACAATTTGGAAGGAAAGGAATCAAAGATGTTTTGAAGGAAATAAGAACAATATCCAGAAGATAAAGATATTGCCTAGGGTTTACTATTTTTGGTGTAAGCAAGTAGTGATAGGAGATACTTAAAATATATTTAATGTTATTGACTGGCTATAACTAGGAGATCTTAGGAAAGATGTAAGCAAAACTTTTTGGAGGGGGACTACACTTTGATGTGGTATACCTGTGGATATATAGAAGTAAATGTTACCTTCTCAAAAAAAAAAGTGTGAGTGTGGAGTTTAATGTGCTCCAAAGACCATCATATGATGCTCACATCAGGACATGCAACAACTACAATCTGATTCATCTAGAGAACACGCCTACTTATGCCTAAAGGCAATACGCATTTCTCAAACAATATCATTTGTTCCAAAAAGTTGACACAAACACCAGTGCACGTGCTTTTTCACTGGACGTATGTAGAACAACTTTGTCGGCCAATTTCAATACTCTCTAACCTATCTCAAACTTGTTTAGAACCTAGTTAGGGGTAAAGATGTGGATCAGTCCAATATGATTGGGGATGTATAGAGAACATATTTTAAGAACTAAAAACTGTGACATATAAAAAACTTAAATGGCACAACAACATACCCGGTGTTATCCCATAAGTGGGGTATGGGGAGGGGGTAGGATGTGCACAACCTTACCCCTTACCTTCGTAGCATATTAAAGGTAATATACTAAAATTCTGTTTTAAAAAAAAAGAAAAAAAAACTAAAATTCTGTTTTCTAGTTCATTTTGTTGTTTACAACAACAAAACCACCTAGAAGTTTGTAATTGTTAAGTTTAATATATGCTAGTATGTCTTAAACTTCTAAAAACGATATAAATTTTCAAAAGAGATGGCATATAGAGAACACTTGGAATGACTAGGAATTGGCAATAACTTGACAAACCTTCCTTTTTAAAATCCACGAGAAGATTGTATGCATTATGGCTTTGCTTCAGTAGCAACAAAGCCTGTCCAGGATACACTAAAACAATCCCGTACCTATTAAACAGACAAAACAATATAAATTTAAATTATGCGTGACTTCTCAAACATTAAACAAGAAACAGTAATTTACGTAAAAACAAATCCCACTTTTTATGGAAGTAGTCAGCAAATGTTGAGAAGGGTGCTACAGTAGCTTCTGAATCTACTTCGAAGGGGCTCTCTGCGGAAGTATTGGCAACAGCGTCCAGAACAGAATAAATTCTTCCAGTATGAATGGCCACAACAACCATGTCCGTAATATTGCTTCTTGAGATTGATATATTGGCAAAGTGAATCAAATCTGTTTGATCAAGATCTTCCACAAATGATGCAGTCCTATCAACTAAGGAGTTCTTCCGTTTAGCTTCAGATTTCTCATTGCTTAACCACGCATTTTTTTTCAAAAATTCCACAACTGAAACAGAAGATTCAATTGCTTCCCAATCAACTCTGTAGGGTTCACAACTTGAATCTAAAGGATCCAGCGGTAGAAGCAAGTACATGTTCGATGGCTCCCACAAAGATTTTTCTGTATCAAGCAGAAATTTCCTTCCACCCGATGATTTAATAAATAATTTACCAAACAGCCCATTAAAGAATAGTTCTTGGAATATTTTTGCTTTTGCCACCTGACAATGAAAATGTTATACTGCTTATCAGATACGAAATGCAAATGCTAACATGATTGAATTATAAAAAGCTCATAATTAGTTTGACTAGGTTCCAACCTGTTGGGAATCCAAATGTACTTTCCCACAATGCGACACGGAGGATTCGACAAACTTGGAAACTAAGAAAAGCTCCACTTCCACATTTCCCACATCGTAATCAAGTTCTGATTGAAGCAAAAGGATAAAACTGGAATATTTCACTTCCTTGATGTTGCAAGGGAAGTTCATTTTATACACTTGATATACTTCTCCATTAGGATCATTTCCCCATGACCCAGATAATGCACTAATACAAGCTGTCCCATGTAATTCTTTCAACTTTGTTGTTCCTAAAAATTTATTGATAAGAAAAAATAATTATTTAATCACAATAAGTTGAAAATCCACATTGAGCATCTATCAGACATGACAGCAGGTGCAGCTTAACGGTGGTCTAAATTTTTAGAGTCTTTAAGGGTAAAAACTTACTTTCTTGTTCCTTGATTTCTTCCATGACTGCCTACTTATTCATAAAAAAGAAATAAATTTCACTGAGAATGCATATAGAAGTCTCCAATGATATGTGAATTTTAATTGCTAGAAGGCATGAAAGATTGCTGGGCGAATGTAGATGCAGATTTCATAGACGAGCAGACTACAAGCTAGGTTGCTGATTCCCGAAGTTGATTTGGTGAGCTCTGTCCTTGACTGTTGGGTTGCTTCTCTTTCAGTTAGACAATTTCACTCATTAATTCAATTATTCATTTATCCAGCATTTGTTTTGGGGATTAGCTAGGAAATCTATGTCCTGTGCATTCCTCTTAGCACTCCAGTAGAAGCTTCACAGACGTATTTTTAGTTGGGTTATGGTTGATCACGTTACTTGGGATTATTTTAAGTACATTCCAGTATTTATATATTTCTATCTTTATTTGGATTATTTCAAGAATTGTTTGAATTGGAATTTCTAACAAAGAGTGAAGTTATTTATTTTTATATGCATGCGGGGTATGTGATATGAAGGTACAGGTTAGAACAGTCAGGCCAGTTTGCTCAGTCAAGTAACGCATCGGGTGTCGGTCAAGGCTTTGTTTAGAGGACGGGTCATGAAAAAAACACCTGGCTTTAAAGAACCTTTTGAGTTTGCCAAACACTGAACAAGCCAAAAAGTGCTTTTAAGCTGCTTGACCAGCTTTTGAGCCAATCCAAACACTCTCATTGTCCTACAATTGAAGAAATATCTGCCTATTGTTTCTCACACCGATAAAAGGTGCGTATCATCAAGTCATTAATGCATCTCCATTTTTTACAAATACTATAAGAACCCACGAGCTGTCATCCCTAAAAAAGTTGTTCTAAGATTGGCCGAAGTTCGCCCACATTTCAACAAGAAATAGATTTGTCAACTTATGTTTAACAACTTGATAAGGAAGAATAAATACAAGCACCTTGTCAAGTGCATTTCAGATAGCCTCTAGTCCCATTAAGTGCTGCTACAGTGTAATGTGATGAACTCAAAAGCAGAGAAGACAGAGGTCAGAAGTGGAAAGCTTGTTCTAGTTTACCTGCCCCTAATTTTCTGTCCTGCACATCAGAATCACCTCGGGGAGGCTTTTCATTGAAAGGAAGAAGATGATCATTGAGAGCACCAATCTGGTGCAGCTTCTTACATGCATCCAAGCAGACAAGCTGTCTTGATAGTTGAGAACTCCTGCATTCTGGACCAACAATCGTTTGGAAAGCTGCATTTGGAGGTAATGTCAACTTACACCGGTACAACTCTCCAGACAAAATGTACTGAAACAATGGCTTTGGAGAGAAGAACCTGTCGAGCGAAACAATTATCATATTTAGACAACAAACAGATAAAGATACCATCCTTTCATTTTATGTATACCCTTAAACTGGAATACGAGAGAAAAGAAGGGACATGTGAAGAAGTATCAAATTTGTTAAATGTAAAGAGAAGAACTTAAAGCCAAGAGAAACATTTTCACACAGCACGGAGCAATTAAACCTGATGACTCCCATGAAACAAACATTTACTGAAAGCACGAATTACCCCTTGCAAATATGAAACATAATTGTGCTGTATGCTTAATACAGAGAGCAACTATGACATCCATAATCCATTGGCTGAAAATATAACACCTTGTTGGTGAAGAAGTGTCTACATGATGTACACCCACAAATTTATTTGGAGAGGATCCAGTAATTGAGGTTTGAAGTGGTAAGGGGGCGAAATTCAGTACAGCAGAGAGAGGAGGAGACAGACAGGTGAATCTGTACTAGACTTTTGTTTGTGTTTTGTATATGGATATGACTAAAAGGTGTATGATTCACCTTGACCCTTAAAATAGGAAATGTTGACACTGCCAAATGATAGGAACATGACATAGAAATCTGATAAAATAATAGAGTACATCAAATATGAGGATCAAAATTAATATTGTGGTTAAACTTTAGTGGTAGTACATCATTAGTACACAGTAGTGAGTAGTCTGGAGCTACAACCCATAATTCCCTTTTCCATTATCACACAACCACTGATTTACTGTTATAATTTTCTTTAAGTTACTTTCTCGTTTCTTTTTTTCCTTTTCAGATTTGTAATATGCATCTTAAAGAAGCGTAGATTATGATAAGCAGAAAACTTGGTTTTTGCACAAGCTGTATTGTTGTATATGACCCCTTGAATCTGGGAAGTCTTTTTGAACATGAAAACACTAGTATCACCCGACGATGGTCCAATATGAGATGTAAATAGACCATATCCAACCTAACCCCATACACAAACCTCCTATGCTCCATGTACCACTTCACTGGCTAAGTTGATAGGACTTTGCATATGACAGGCCAAAGCATAACTTACTGATCCTAGGGTTCATGTGTGAGACAGAAGGAACTGGGCCAGACATTGGAAGCCAACAGCTATCTCATACAAAATTTTGAAGCAAACAATGAATGAGGAAACTGAAGGTTGACCGTGATTGATGATAATAGTGCTTCAGCCTAGATCCTGCTTGAACTCAATACCAAAACAATCACATCACATATCCCATCTGTTCTAGGATTAATTTCTATATCCTTCCAAAACGATTCGTTCATTTCCAAACGGCTCTGAGCAGGTAACAACAACAAAACTCACTTTAATCTAATAGGGGATCCTGGATTCCAGTGTTAACCATAACTTGGTTTGTATACATAAAACAAGATGCACCAGTGAACACAATATTTAGTTGAAGACATGAGAATCCATACTTATCTCCAGGGAGCATTTCACAATATTTAGTCAAGACACTGACACTAGAATCTGCAGTCACTGATGCTCCAGTTGCCTCCACATAATATGCTTTAGTTTCCTTCACTAGACAAGGTTTCACCACAGAATCATCAGGGTCTCTCTTTATAGCTGTATCTGTCATAGAATATTCACTCCTAATTATATCGAACATCTGCTCCCTCTGCTTCTTGTTTCCTCTGAAATCATTATGAAGGTTATATACTTGAAATAAATAGATATATGAAAGCCAAAATCAGGTCAGATATGCAAGTTGCTTCACCTCTCAAGCATTAGTATATACTGAGACTCAGTCTGACGAGCACGTCCCCTAGATTGGACATAACTACGAACTGTCTTTGGTAAATCAAATCGTATTACAGAGGAACAGTGTGGCACATCAATTCCCTCCTCAACCACATCAGTGGCAAATAATAAATTGACCTGTGATGATAAGGGAATGGGGGGAAATATTACATTAAGATCAAAGCTAGTTAAAGGGACTCGCAAGAAAGTATTTATGTCAAATATAATGTAATGTATTATGTATAGATGTAATTACCTTTCCAGAGAGAAAAGATCCCAAGGTTTCTTTTTGCACTTTTGGTGTCAGAGCATCGACAGATGTGTTTGTTCCAGTCAAATATGCTATTGTGAAATGTGAAAACCGGGTCATTTTCTTCATAACTCTTTCAATTACCTTAGCTGTTATAATTCTTTCAACAAAAATGAGACAGCGTACTTGTGTGGCTTTCCTGCATCCATGAATCAGAACCTCAAGTTTGTACAAAGAGCTACATAAAAGATGCATCTAACGACAGTTACAAGTTTGGTGATAGAATCAGATGTCGAGTTCATTACCTAAGGAATTGAAAAATTTCAAGAAGTACTTGCAGTTTTGAAGATATATGGCCCATTGACAGAGTTGCTGACGAGTCATATCCAACATCGAAGAGACTCTCACAGTCTGATGAAATGAGAATAAATCAACACTTGCAAAGAACTCAAAAGTTGGAACTTTTACTGTGTTACTATAGTAAAAGTCAATTCAGCTGGATTGACAGGAAAATTCAAATGCTATCTACTGCATAACAAACAAGAATTAAAAAGTCCGACCAGAAGCCATTCTAGCAGTGTTCACACTGATTGCGCCACACAAGCATGACCAATCAACAGAAAATCACACATCACAGGAAACCGACCAAGTTACAATTTTATCATTGCTCAGAATAAATTGTAACACAATGATACTTAAACAGTAATGTGTTTAAGTTTTAACTACTTTTTTTCAGGAACGAATAAGGACAAATAGATATCAAGAGAATGAATATAGCATATATAGCTGTACTAGCTTGATAAATTGTTTGACATAGGAGAAACTTCTGAAAACAACATAATGATCTTGATCCAATGATGTCCACAGTATAGAGAAAAGAAGTAGCATATAGGGATAAAAGATCTGTGTGTAAATAGAAAGAAATATGTAAATTATGGCATAATAATAGAGAGAGCAAGAAATGACCTCGTAATAGGTGGTCTATTCGAAAAAGAAAAGAGAACATTACCATACAATCAATTGAAGAACCTTATGAGCTCCTGATACTAAAATGTAATGTGTAACAGATGCAAGGCAAACTGAGGAAACAAGAAGGACTGAATGAATACTCCCACTACAACTACAACAACATACCAAGTGTAATCCCACAAGTGCGCTCGGGGAGGGTGGTGTGTATACAGACCTTATCCCTTCCTTGTGAAGGTAGAGAGATTGTTTCCAAAAGACCCACAGCTCAAGTAAAACAATTCAAAGCAGGTTTGAAAAGGAAATACAGCAGTAAATAAGCCATGTTGAAAATAATAGAGAAAAGAACAATGACAACACAATACTACGATAAAACCAAAGCCAAAGGAAACAACAAGTGGTAATAAAATTGCAGAGATAATAGAAGAATAGTAATAATACAACTGGTAAGGAAAACCAGCCAATGCTCGACTGCCTACAAGCCTTCTACCCCAATACCCCACCTCCATACCCTCCAATCTAGGAGCATGTCCTCAGTAAACCACTTGAGATAAAAAGAAAAAGATTCTTGACGAGAAGTATGGCAACCCCTCACTCACTGCAACAAACCTTCACCAAAAAGAATGGTAACTCAAGATCCACTAGCCGGATGATCAAATATGCAGATTTGCAATTGGAGAACCCAAAAAATGAAACATCAAAATAAAATTGATAAAGATAACAACAAACAGGTCAGCAATGGTCACATATCTGCATAAGCAATACATAGAACAAACTCAGGTACCTTGTGGCATTGATTCCTGGACAATTGACAATGCCTCCTCCAAAAAGTATCTATGTTGTAGAGAACTTGTCCTTAGAATCTCATTTTCATCTTTGTCATTAGGCACATTTTCCAAGCAGATTTTAACAGCCTATATTATGAGGGGGAGAAACAGCCAGAAATAAGAAATTCCAACATAATATTAGATAGATCTAAAAAGAGTGTCAGACATGATATGCAGAACTGTTGAAGAAAACATAGAAATTGGAAGAGATACCCACAGCTTAGAATATAAGTTCTGATAGTCCGGAATAGACCCAAGCTTAGAACCAATTAAATGTTCCATAGGTAGCCACAAAACACAGAAATGCTGAGTTCATCAATTGAATGGAGCCCAAGCAAGCACATTCGTGCAACAGTGAAAAAGACTTCAAGTACATTAATCGGAGAAAAAGAACACCTTCCATATGGTTTTGGTGAAGACTTAACTCTTTTAGGCTTTCCTAATTACTTACTTTTGATTTGCTACTTTGGAATATAAAGCGTCCAATTGTTTTCCTAAACTTTCTATGAAGAGAACTCCACTTCTGCTTTTGGACAGAAGAAGATATTAGTGATAAATGATGGTAAGAGAAACAAGGATGCTCATTGATATAAGTCGAGATGAAAAAATCAAAAAACACCAGCTTCTGTTTTTTTAATTAGTAAATGAAAAGGCAGATTTTGAGCTGGGATTCCATGAATTAACTCTTTGAAGAAACCATACCCGACAGACTTACAGGAATAAAGTGTTTTTCACGCAAACAAGAGAAGATGTAAAAAGGTCAATCGAGCACAATTTGAAAGGAAAAAAAATCCTTCTTTCCTTTTGAAATGAAGATTACGTGTTTAGCCATAAAAAGGAATTCTTTCCTTTTGAATAAGTAAATTTTAGTCACAGATGAGCACTAAGCTAGTGCTGCATATATGCACAAGTGGCTATGGTTCCAAGGACCTCAGAATATATGAAGCTACCTACTCCTTCGATATTCACATAGTTACACCAAAATTCAAATAATAAATCCCTCAAAAATACTACTAATTTGCTCCTTCCATAAGGTCTATCTGTTGTTAGTGGGTGTATGCAGTCAAAGTTGGCCGGATGGTAAAATTGAATGACTTGAGGCATTTCTTGTGGCCAAGGGTTATACTCAAACCTTTTGGCTTGATTACAGTGATACATTCCTTCCCGTGGCTAAAATTGCATTTGTCTGCCTTTTCTATCCATGGTTGTTCGTCATTGGCCTTTTTATTAGTTGGACATCAAGAATATTTTTCTTTTTTTTTTTATCAAGTAATAATATTCATATTAATAGGGGATAAAAAGTGCTTGTATACAAGAAGTACACAAAGAAATAGAGAACCTCATAGCTAAACATGGTTTTCTACAAAAGCCACCCAATCCTTTTTATACCTATAGGAACTTCATGGGTGCATCAAAAAGAAATAAGAGCAAATAGATTTTTTTTCAGATTAGCAGAACATTTCCTACGCCCTTAAAAGCTCCCCTATTCCTCTCTCTCTCAATACAGTCACATGAGTGCCAAGGGAGCAACATCCCATTTTCTGCTTCTTCTCTTCGGTCTTCTAAGGGCCCAACTAACATTGAGTCTTTCACAGTGCTCGGCATCACCCACTCAACTCCAAACCATCTCAGAATTCCCCCCCACAAAGAAGAGGCTAATCGACAATGTAATAAAAGGTGGTTTACGTCTTCTCCAAATTCTTTACACCTGAAACACCAATTGACACATGTGATCTTTCTCTTCCTTAAATTCCCCAACGCCAAGATTACCCCCCTCACAGCTAACCAAGTAAGAAATAAATTATTAGGGATATCCTAGGGTTCCATATCAAACTGTGTGGAAAAGTCGATTCCTCCCTAGATAGGAGTTTCTCATAATAAGAATTCACTGAGAAATCACCACTTCTTCTGGTCCCCCGTCTTCATAAATTAACAGTATCCATAAAAACTTTTGTTGGTGAAGCAATCCTTTGAAATTCTCTAACCTCCAAGTCTTGTGCATTCCTCCTAAACCTCAAACCCCAACAAACTTCTCCCCCTTGCATACTCCATAAGTGATGGACTGACATCTTCTTTTGACAAGAGATGTTATACATACTAGGAAATGTGATTCTCAAGAATGTTTTGCTCTGCTATGATTTTTAGGATGACAAAATATATGAAGCAACTACCTGATTTTGCAGTGGTCTTGTAAGATGATTGGGCTGGTCTTTATAGTCTGAAATGGTTCCTTGAGCATGGTTTGGTAAGTTCATCATGGTTATTCAGGAATTTGACACGACTCCAAGTGAGGCTGACATTTTGTATTCTATCAACACACTGCTCCAAATTTGTGTATCTATTTGCTTGTTTATGTTGATAACATCACAGACAATGATCAGACTTGTATAGTTAAGTTGAAGCAACATCTCTTTCAGCACTTCCAAACAAAGCCTTTAGGCATAGTGGAGTATTTCCTAGGCAATGAGATCGCTCAGTCCAAATCAAAAAATTTCATCTCACAACGTAAGTATGCTCTAAACTTTCTTGAAGAGACAGGAATGACAGATTGTAGACCCACTACCATCCCCATGGACCGGAATGCATCAGGGGGGGAGTCCCCCCTCCTGGTTGGTAAGTTAATTTACCTACAGTGACTCGACTTGATATTACTTATTCGGTGATGTTGTAAGTCAGTTTATGAACTCCCAATGTGATAGGATTAGGATGCATTAGTAAGTATTCTTAGATACATAAAACTATCCCCAGGGAAAGGATTAGTCTTTGAGGATCGAAGCCATGAGAAAACTATTGGATACACAGATGAAGATTAGACGGGATCACATTTTGATAGGCAGTCTACTTGTAGATATTGTATTCTCGTTGGAGGTAATCTGGTGTCTTGGTAACACATGAAACAAACTGTTGTTGCACATTCTAATGCAGAAGCAAAGAGTCAAATGATGGATGTGGCAACTTTTTGGATAAAACAATGCTTAAAGAATTGAAGTTTGGACAAATTAACGAGATTGAACTTGTGCGTAATAATCAAGTTGCTCTTCATATTGCATTGATGCGTGTTTGATGAGAAAACTAAGCATAGTGATCAATTGTCACTTTGTGAGAGTAAAGATACTCTCAGGAGACATTCTCACAAATTCGTGAAGTCAAATGATCGGTGTGCAAACATTTCACCAAATCTCTTACTGGTTCTCGAATTAATTACATTTGTAATAAGCTTGGTACATACAACTTATATCACCATCTTGAAGGGGGAGTGCTAAGGATATTGTGTATATAGTTAGAATCAATCACATAGATATTGAGAATTCAAATTGTGTGGCCTTGATTATAGATGCATGTTCTATTTCTCACAGTGTCCAGTAAAGTAGCAGGTAGTAAGATCATATTTTATGAAATGGACATCCGCTCTTAGGTCAGGCAGAGAAGATGATCAGTTGGACAAAGACCAATCCAATCTGCAAGTTCTAGCTTCAAAATAGATAGAACCAGCTAACCAAAAGTACACCAAACTGCCTAGGTCTTTATTATTTTTGGTGTAAGCAAGTAGTGATAGGAAATTCTGAAGATGTTTCTAATGTTATTGACTGGCTGTAACTAGAAGATCTTAGGGCTGTTGTAAGTATAATTTTTTGGAGGGGAACTACACTTTGATGTAGTATACCTGTGGATATATAGAAGTAAATGTTACCTTTCTCAAAAAAAAAAGTACACCAGTTTTTTTAGTAGTAAATAATGCAATTCAAAGCGCCACGTAGATGAATTAATATTAGTTGGATTCCAACCCTGACTAATAAAGTGCTTCTCATTGTTTCATGTAAGAGAGGCCTAAGTGTCTCTTACTCTTAACAGAAAGGTATGAATAATTATGCATATATATATTTGTGTGTAACATAAATGTGTATGCTTCAATAAATAGAAACAGAAAATGAAAGTATTCTCACCATAGGTGTAGCTAGTTGCACGCCTTCCCTTCAATTATTTTGTATATACTCCCTCCGTCCCTATTTACTTGTCCATATTTCCTTTTTTAGTTGTCCATTTTGACAAATCAAGAAAGGACAACAAATTTTTTCCTATTATACCCTTATTTACACTTCTTGAAAATTGTAAAAGTGTATGTTGTTTCCCTCCAATTTATTTCACTTGAATTCAAATAAGTGGTTGTAATTTTGAAGTGAAAAAGTTGTCATAAGGGTAAAATTGTAACTTCACTGTGATAATCATTGTTGCCTTAATCTGTGTGCCATTTCTAAAGTGGACAACTAAAAAGGGACGGAGGGAGTAATTACCAAGAAATGAATAGAAATAACAGATCATGAAACCTTAATCATACCTCATAAGCACAAATGACGCCTAGATTTTCAAGGCAACACAATATCTTTGCATAACAATTGGACAATCTCTTCCGAAGCTTCTTATACATATCATCTATATCTTTGTACTGACTTGGCAGTGACAGTTTCAATTCAGCTAATGCAGCATCAAACTGTTCATGAAATTGTGGTGAATAAGTACAAGGGCTTGAGTTTAGAGAAACATTCTATCTCGTCACGTTCCAAAGAAGCATATTATTCATATGGGGAACTGTGTCAACAAGTACTACATAATGCAGAAAAGCACTCAAGATTACTAAGTAAGCAAGCTTTACCAATATCTAAGTACATAAACAAGGGCATCACTACATCACTCCGGTAAACGAGAAGAGAAAAAGTAAGACAGAAGTTTGACGTTTATGGACCTGAGCTTAACATTCCTGGAGTTCAACAAAACAAGATGTCATTTAAGTTTTGAAAACACTACCATCCAAACCTACTGAAAGCATAGAAAGAACTGTGCAAGGAACACATGAAAACTTCAAGATATTGAGGACCCTTATCATTCAGTAAACTTCAAGCACCCAAAACCATCTAGTAGGTCTGCAATAAGACCCCATCAAGAGAAGTTAAGATAAAACCTACAGACAACTTCCCAAAAATTAAACCCAACTTGCAAAACTTTATGCTTTTTTTCATTGTCTTTCCTTTTACCGTAACATGTCAAGTAAAGTGTCCACAATGCTCCCTGTTTTTTTGTGACTGTTGAGTCCCACATCAGAAGGATGAGGATAATTTGGTCTCTTTATATGATCTTTGGCAATCCTCACCCCGTGAGCTAAATTTGGAGTTGAGTTAGGCCCAAGATTCATAAAATGATAACAGAGCATTTGTGGGGAACATCAGGGAAGAAAATTTAGTCAAGACAGTCGTTGTGCGTCAAATTTTGGCAACTTTCTTGGGTTGTTTTGTGTCAACTCCATGTTGTCAGTATTGGACCTAAACCAACACCACCAAGGAGTCCCTCACTCTCCTAGCAACAATAACCCACAAAATCCCACAGACAGAAACCTTGCATGCGCTCCCACACGCCATCAGAAGCAATCTTCTCCGGCGAGATCTACATCATGCGGCAGACGCGTGAGCCAGTTACCAGCCACCTTTTCGATCAATCCTTTTTCCAATCAGGGTCGTCGGGAGATTTCAAGCTCACCCATACAATTTTCTTCAAGTTCCGGTAACTTTCAATTTTTCGGTAGGTTTTCTGGCAATTTTTTCAGCGAGTTCCAACAGGTTTTCCAGCTCTGTTCCAGCTTGTGAGTCCTTCCTTTGAGACAGAAGCTGGGTGCTCCCTTTTTTGGTCAAATTTTCTTGAAGTTCTGAGTCGGGCTTCATGTTGCATTGATCTTGTGTTTTATAAGAGGACCAAGCACGTCGAAATTGACTATCATTTTACCAAAGAAAAATTACTGTCATGATACACTATCACTAAGTTTGCCTAGTCAAATGACAAACTTGCAAAATATTCACCAAGTTCCTTGTTGGTCATGAACTAATTATATATATAACGGGTTAGGTACATACAATCTATATGCACCAACTTGAGAAGAGCAGTTAGCTATTAAGAATGTACATATATAATAACATGTGAAGTCTCCTATTGGATGTATATATTTTTGTAAAATGTGCATAAATGCTTTTAGGTGTAAGAGAATTGTCTTTACACATTCTCTCAATTTTTCTTTCCCATTTCTAAACGTTCACTTCTCCCTCAAAATAATATTTTGTTCATAGTGAACAATGAAAAGAGGTTGCCCTTGATTTCAAAATCTAAAGAATTGGGGATATGAAAGAAAAAAATAAGCATTAAGAGCAAAATGGAGACAGAGTAAAATGTAAGGGGCATATCAGTTATTTAACAACAATATCCTACACTGTCCTATTTGATATGATATCTGCATATGGGCTTTTACCTTTGACCATGAAAACTCCAACTTTGCCTTTAATTCTGTATTTGAAAACACTATTGGATCATAGAATTTGCAAGTCTCCTTAGCAGAGGGAACAAATTCATCCAGCTCCACCCTGTTCTCGAGTGTATATACCTATACAAGAAGAAAAACAATATACTGATACATTAGGAACCATTACTCAAACTAGAATTAAGAGACCATTTACCCAGCTGCAATAAAGTGACAGGGTTCGCCAGAAGATTACCTGGGAATCAAGAAGACTTTCAAGTTCTGATATTTGCTCCTCGCAATCTGTTGAAGATGAAACACCTGATCGAGCGGGTATACTTAGTAAATCCACAAAAGATCTAAACCCATATATATCACATTAGAATAAACTAAGACAACTGAAATCAAAAGTATTAGCATAAATTTGGAAGGATGACTAACCAAAGCTAAGGCATCTAAGTTGCTCAGACTCTTCACTTTCGGTGCCGCACCCGTGTCGACACGACATGGGTGTGGGTGTGGGTGTGGGTGTGGATGTGGGTGTGGCTGTGACTGTGGCTGTGGCTGTGGCTGTGGCTGTGGGATTCGTACCCTAGTTGGTCAACCAATTTTGGATACTTTGACCAAATTAGGGAGAAATTTTGGACAGATTTAATATTTCTATAATCAAAACTTTTCTTTTATATATTAATTGAAGTTGATGAAAATGGAAAACCTTGTATATATAAATTTCTATTGTCACTCCCTTTCCTTTTATCTCCTTCCAAGATTCTCCTCTTGATCATTATTTTCTCCTCGAGTTCTCTACATAATATCTCATAATTTTGGTTTTATAACTCTATTTTTTGCCAAATCCCCGCACCCGTATCCAGACATGGATCCGTATCCCTGAATCTTAAACTTTAGGTCATAGAGGATCCGACCACTAGATCCGCACCCATATCGGACACCCACACCGAGTTCAAGCAACTTAGTTAGGCATAGAAACGGAAAAGAAAGTGAGTAATTTTGAGAAAGAAAAAGTCAATACAAAAGCTCTAAAATGTGTATAAGAAACTCTTAAACCAATTAAATGACAATGGGTCCCGGATACTCTTTTTAAAATCATTGTATCTCTTTTTTTTAAGAAAGGTAACACTACATAAATCTTCACAGAAGCCATATTTACAAGTTTAAAACAAGCTTAGTATACATCCTTATTCTTCTAACAACAACAACAACATACCCCGTGCAATCCCACAAGTAAGGTCTGAGGAGGGTAGAGTGTACACAGACCTTATCCCTAGCTTTTCTTATAGACCCTCAGCTTAAAATTAAGCATTTCCAAGCCGTTTGAAAAAGGGAATACAAAAATGACAGCAGTAAACACAACGAAATAATGTGAAATGAAAGCAGTACACAACATACACCGAGGAAAGAACAGTAATGACAACAAAATAATGTGATAACCGAAGCACAAAAAACACAGGTGATAAACGAAATCAAAAAACAAGAAGCTATGAGAATAATGCTAATACCACTGGTAAGAAAGAAGGTCCAAGTACGACCATCAATCCTATCCCGCAGGAAAGCAAGAGCATGCTCAAGTACCAACTAACCTACTACCCTACTTTGCGCCTCTAGATCCTCCTATCTAAGGTCATGTCCACAGTAAGCTTAAGATGTGTCATATCTAGTCTAATCACCTCTTTCAATACTACTTCGGCTTGCCTCTATCTATCCTGATGCTCATCACTGCCAACCTCTCTCACCAACGAGGCATCTATACATCTTCTTTTCATATGGCCAAACCATCTCAGTCTCGCTTCCCTCATCTTATCCACCTCCCCCATCTTATCCACCGCGAAAACCACTCCCAACATCTCCCTAATATCTCCATTCCTAATTTTATCTCTCTTAGTATGCACACACATCCACCTCAACATTCTCATCTCTGCAACATTTATCTTCTGAACATGTGAATTCTTGACTGGCCAACACTCTGTCTCATACAATATAGCTTATCTAACCACCACTATCTAGAATTTACCTTTAAGTTTTGGCGGTACCTTCTTATCATACAAGACTCTAGAGGTGAGCCTCCATTTCACCCATCTCGCACCAATACGACATGTAAAGTCATTGCTGATCTCCTCATTACCCTGAACTAAAGACCACAGATGCTTAAAATAGCCTCTCTTAGTGATGACCTGAGCAAAGTACAGATAGCAACCCTCGACCCCCCAAGGTATGGCCTACCGGCCCACAGATGTAGGAAGGCGGCCTACCTTTCTTGAGCGATCGCCCTCGCTCGTTGGCAACATGCCTTGATGCGTGCGTCTAGTTTGTTGGGGTGACACTCGGACTGCTCTTCAATCTTCCCGAATCACCAAGCATGAGTCCTTCTGCTCGAGCGCATTTTCTTACCTTTCTTTTTTAGACAAGTAACAATTATATGCAATGAAAACTTAGCCACCCCAGAAAAAGCTGCTAAGTTGGAAACTTTACAAGCATCAAAAAGGTGCTTAAACCTCTGCCCAAAACCCTACACAATTTATATTGCCAACTTTATATACAAACTCTCCTACTTCCCCAACATATTCTGTTTACACCAAAAAAAGAACAAGCTAAGACAATTCATCCTAATTTTCTCGATAGAATTACTAGTGTCTTAAAAATGTCTACCATTCCTTTCCTTCCACACTGTCCACCAAATGCAAGCAGGAATGATCTTCTACCAGTCCTCCTCCCCACCTCTATTCCCAATACTCCACCAATTGTTCAGCATTTCCAAAGTAGAACTAGGTATTACCAAGTTATTCCCAAAATACAAAGGCAGGCACATGTGCCACAGATTTATAGTTGTCCTACAGTGTAGGAATAAGTGTTCATTGTTTTCACTCTCATGTTCACACAAAAGACATCTTGAACAAATTTGAAGACCTCTTCTTTGTAACTTATCTTGAGTTAGGCAAGCTTTCCTAATCACCAACCAGACAAAGAATGACACCTTCATAGGGATATTCACTTTCCAGACTTGTTTCCAAGGCCAATTCTCCTGTACAGGACCTCTTTGATTTAACTACCAGTACATTGATTTTACTAAGAGCCCGTTTGGATTGACTTAAAAAAACTAACTTTTAAAAAGTAGCTTTTTAAAGTGCTGGAACTTATTTTTAAAATAAGTAGTTATGTGTTTGGATAAAAGTGTTGCATTTGAAAAAAAGTTGTTGATGTGTTTGGCAAATAAGTGCTGGTAAACACTTTTTTTATCAAAATGTTTGAAATACCCTTTAAGTTGTTAACATGATGAAAAGTTGATTAATTTAAGGTTTTTATACTTTAAAAAAAATTAAAACAAAATTAATTTATATTTTACATCCATAAGTAATAATATTTTCCTATCATTCACATATTTCTTTACCACCACAAATTATTTATAAGAGGAATAATAATAATAATAATAATAATAATATAATAGTAATAAAATAATAAAATAATAATAATAATAATGATAATAATAAAATAATAATATAATAATAGTAATAAAATAATAATGATAATAATAATAATAATAATAAAATAATAATAATAATGATAATAATAATAATAAAATAATAATAATAATAATAATGATAATAATAATAATATAATAATAATAATAAAATAATAATAATAATAATAATAGTAATTCAATATGGGCAATTTGGAAATTGTATAAAAAAATTAAGGGCAAAAAGGTAATATACTTGGTCAACATAAAAGAACTTTTAAGTTAAAAAAAAAAAAAAACTCCCCTCACCTAGCTTTTAGCTTTTGGCTTAAAATAAGTCATTTTTGACTTAAAATAAGTCATTTTGATAATTGTCAAACACTCTAATAAGTCAAAAACTGGCATTTAAGCCAGTTTGACCAGCTTAAAAGCCCATCCAAACAAGCTCTAAGAAGGCCTCTTTACTGTTAAGTTTCCACTTGAACCTGTCAGTAATCTGTGCACCACCAAAAGTTCCCAATATCTGAAGCATTGTGACGAAACTCTCTACTTCCCCTTCATAGAGAGCTCTTCTAAAGATTAGATTCCACCCTTGGTGACTCCACATTTGGTTGATCATGTCATGTTGTTGGAGGCTTATAGAATAAAGAATTGGAAACATAGAATTGGTTGATCATGTCATGTTGTTGGAGACACATTTTCTTGCCTTTCAGCGGAAGCGATTCCCAAGCAAGCCAATAAGATCAAATTGCTCTTGTTGAACCAGCTACTAATCACCAAGTCCTTTGTTTAGTCAAATCATTGGTGAGAAAATTTTAGCATTCATTTGATTGATAGATGCAAAGAATTCACCTAACTAGAACCCTGCGAGTGAACACAAAAAAGCAAAGCAAACTAGCATCAAGCCTCACTTCCACGCTGACCTCATGTTTAGCATCACTAAACTTAACACTCTTGAGTATTTAGTCTTAATTTTGCTCAGCCTAAACCCTTTAGACTCGTCTCTAAATCTCCACCCTATTGTTAACCCTGACGTGATTCTCGACAATCAGCACTATATCATCTTCAAATAACATACACCATGGAACCTTACCTTGGATATGTCGCGTCAGTTCATCTATAACCACTAGCCAATCCAAAAAGAAACGAACTAAGAACTGATCCTTGGTGCAACCCCATTATGACCGGCAAGTGCTCCGAGTCTCTAGCCTCGAAGCATCTCCAAAAAACTTCCCTTGTGACTTGGTCATAAGCCTTCTCTAGGTCAATGAACACCATACGTAAAACACTCTTCCACTCCCCCATACTACTCCACCAGTCTCCTCACAAGGCGGATAGATTCTATGGTAGATCACCCCGGCATGAATCTGACATGGTTCCCGAAAATAGACACTTCCCTTCTCAATCTCATCTCCAACATCCTCTCCTACACTTTCACAATGAGGTTCACCAGCTTGATACCCCTATAGTTGTTGCAATTTTGAATATCATCTTTGTTCGCGTACAATGAAATCATCACTCTACCTTTATTTTTCGAGCATTTTTGTTGTCCTAAAAATGACATTTAACAACCCCAATAAGCCACTCCAAGCCTGCACTGCCTATGCTCTTCCAGAACTCCATCAGACCTTGTCACTCATCCCCTGCTCATCCTACGAATAGCACCTTTAAGCTTGCCAACCTTTATACACTTGTAATACCCAAAATCTAATCGTCTCACAAAGTGCTCTAACTCTCCCAGCATAATGCCTTTGCCCTTTTCTTCATTCAATAGTTTATCCCCACGAGAGTTGATGATGAGGACTATTTTCGGTATCAAATTGCAAAACACCAATTATCCACTTGCACAGCCTAACCTGGTGTAACTTGTTTGCCTGTCACACAATCTTCTTCCTTTGGTAGTTGGTTTCTTGATTCTGGTGCTTCTAATCAAATTTTTAGTAACTAAAATCTTTTTCACGCTATTAAACCCTCTACAGTGTCTTCTACACCCTAACTTGTGAGAAACATAAGTGAAGAATATTATTGAATTGTTGTCGTTTCTACAATATTACATTGAGACCCTATTTATAGACACTACAATACAATCCTTTACCAAGTAGGATACTATTTAGTATTCCTATTTCTATTTCTATTCCTATTCCTACTCTAATAGAATTGTATAAACTTAATCCTATTCTAATAAGATTGTATAAACCTATTCTTATTCTAACACTCCCCCTCAAGCTAGTGCATACAATTCATGTACCTAGCTTGTTACAAATGTAATTAACAGAAGGACCGATGAGGGGCTTGGTGAGATATGTGCAAGTTGATCAACCGACTTCACAAAATTGACAATCAATCTCAATGTGCTTGGTCTTCTCATGAAATACTGAATTTGACGCATAATGCCGTAAAACACAGAGTGATAAAATTACAATGTTGGAACTTCCCAAACTAAGCTTGCAAAGACTATTTCAGACCATAGAGTGACTTACGTAATCAACATACAAGGCTACTAAATTCCCCTTGAGCAACAAAATTAGGTGGTTGCTCCATATAGACTTCTTCATAATGCAGCAGTCGTTGTAAGTGCTCAAAATCTAGTGTAAAGTATATGGATCATGTTGGAATCAATAGACGAGTCGATATTAAACAAGTCATCGAAAAATTGGTTGGAACATGCTCATATGCCGGAGTATTAGATTTGATGGTTAAAAGTGGTTACAATCTATGAAATAAAATTATATGGGTAGGGTCGGAATGATGTCAAGACCCAACTAGAAAATAGAAATTATATAGGATAGTTCGAATTGATGGAACGACCCCATTGAAAATGAGAAATAATATGGGTAGGGTCGGAATGATGGCCCGACCCTACTGAAAAAGAAAAAATATATGGGTAGGGTTTGAATGATGGCACAACCCTACCTCCTCAACGAAAAGACGAATGGAACTATGCAAATCAAATCTGAGGAGTCACTGAAAAGACACATGATGCTATGCAACTCAGATATGAGAAAATAGTTCGGAAAAAATCCACGGTACTACACAAATTAAATATGAAAAGTAGTCCGGAGAGATGCACGGTGCTACACAAATTAAATATGAAAAAGTAGTCACCGGAATGATGGCACAGTGCTACACAAATTAAATATGAAAAAGTAGTCACCGGAATGATGGCACGGTGCTACACAAATTAATTATGAAAAAGTAGTCACCGGAATGATGGCACGATGCTACAAAAACTAGATATAAGAAAGTAGTCACCGGAATGATGGCACGGTGTTACACAAATTAGATATGAGAAAATAGTCACCAGAAAGATACACGGTGACCCAACTTTTGCTAACATAATCATTAGCCGGACGGGCGGCATATATGGATAATAGCCGCCCGCCGACAGTGGAAGCTCTTTGATTGTTTACCAAGATCGTAGAGGCTCTTATACCATGTGAGAAATATAAGTGAAGAATATTATTGAATTGTTGTCGTTTCTACATTATTACATTGACACCCTATTTATAGACACTACAATACAATCATTTACCAAGTAGGATACTATTTAGTATTCTTATTTCTATTTCTATTCTTATTCCTACTCTAATAGAATTGTATAAACTTAATCCTATTCTAATAGGATTGTATAAAACTAATGAATCCAAAACAATAGTAAAAGTGATAATGGAGCCCACCCTATCTTTAATTGTCTTTAACCTCAATTCTTTTGTGCTAGAATGTCCACATAATCTTATAACCATATTAACTAACCGTAAACCTTAATTATGTTGTTACCTTTTTGGATTACTCTATTATAGTGTAGGACGAGGAATGCCAAATTGATGATTAGAATAAGGCATAAGTCACACAGCTTGTACCAATTATCCAATCAGAACACACCTATCACTTTTAGTTATGCTACCTCTCATGATATTCCTCATAATTGTTGAGGACATCCAACGGTCTTTCTCGTTTGTCTTCATTAGAGTATAAATCATGTCAGCTTGGGAAACACTCACAATTCTTTTCTGAAATAAATTGACAATAGGGTTGTATCTCCATTATTGTCCATTCAGATATATGGGATCCAAGCCGTGTCAGTCTACTTCAGATTTTCAGTATTGTAGCTTTTGATAACGAATATTCTTAGCGCACTAGGTGTGCGCAAGATGGCCCAGACACCACGGTTATCAAAAAAATAAAATAGAACTGAGTTGTTTTCTATCTTTTAAGTCTTTTGTGTTGAAATTTGTAACCAGCCTAGTGTTTCTATAACGAAACTAACCAGTGACAATCCACAAGAATATTTTTCTTCACCTATCTCTTCCCTTATGCCTCCACAAGATACTCTACCTATATCATCTTGTGCATATACTCCTCATCAACATGGAGTTGCTGAACATAAAATAGGCATGTGATCGAGACTTCTCGAACATTAATGATTAACGCTCATGTTGAGCTTCGGCTTTGGTTGATGTCATTCTCACAGTTTGTTAGCTAGTCAATCACATATCTTCTTATATTAACGCAAGAGTCCTTACTCTATATTTTATCAGGATCAACCTTGGTTTCCTCTATCTCCACGAGTGTTTGGGTATACTTAATATGTCCAAGATCTTGAACCAAAAATGACAAACTTCAACAAAGTCCATCAAATATATCTTTTTGGGTACTCTCGTCCCAAAAGGATAACAACTGTTATGATCCTACTACACATAAGTACTTTGTCTTAGCAGATGCAACCTTTTTCAAGATGTATCGTACTTCTCACCAAATTCACTAATTCAAAATGACATCCCCACGAGTCTTGATGTCTGATGTCACTATTCTCTTTTCATTCTTATAATATTTACTGTGAAAAGTTAAATGATTGCAAATTATACCTGTGCACTTGTTACAAATGGAATATCATGTAGGAATTAGCATGTAACATTACCTACTTCACAAAATATTTTACTATTAGTTAAACTATGGTATGACATAAGATATTTTACATCATGTCTATTATATATGACATACAGGTTTATCATTTATCTTTACATGTTTAAATTAGTTTATCCAAAAAAACACATACATTTTTACAGGCATCATTCAGACAAATCATAAACTTTGATAAATGTAATCAAGGATAAGTAGATTAGACAAAACAACAATAATTATTTATCTATGAAGCAAATATATCACATCAATCATGTAAGTAAATAAGATCTTTTATACACACTCATCACAGGCTTTGGACGAAACGTTAGGAGTCCAATCCTTTGAAGAGGAATACATCCTGAAGAACCTCACAAAGTTTGATAGAAAACGTGGCCCAAGCAAGCTCAGAGAATAACTAAGTGGAAGTCAAAGACTCCGGTATATATACCAAGTGATTCAAGGGTTTCTTTTATTAGCTTAAATAATAAGAAATTTTTTAATTCAATATAAATATAACAAACAGAAGCAACCACCAACAAGATCTTCGGTCAGCTCCTCAATAAAATTGAGAACTGACTACATCCCACTACAAGTTGATGCAAGTATGCACACATGCAGACATGTGTATAATTTCAGTAGGCAATTTTTCTTTTGATTTTTCATGGAAGAAAAAACAAAAATAAGAAAATAAATATAGTACTTTAGTAAAACGAAGAATTTATCAACAGATGGCAGAGGAAAGGCAGCGAATTCTTCTATAATGAATGTGAGAAATATTGGAGAAGAATATTATTGAATTGTATCTCTACATTATTACATTGAGACCCTATTTATAGACACTACATTAGACTCCTTTTCCAACTAAGACACTACATTACAATCTTTTTCCAGGTAGGATTATACATATTATTCTTGATCCTACTCCTATTCTAACAATAAAAGACACAGTAAAAACGCAAAAACTAATGGGAAAGTGAAGAACGAATAGATGGCAAAGTAGCAAGAGCTATGGGCCTATGGCATGTAAGAAGTGGTTAAGAACAGCAAAATTCTTCCACTCTACTGCACTTGGACAAAATAAAATAGGGATCTCAAGCATCTAATTTCACTTCTGCAACATCTACATTGATACACATAAGGAAAAATGTACTCCCTCCGTTTCAAAAAGAATGTCCTAGTTTGACTTGGAACGGAGTTTAAGAAAAGAAAGAAAACTTTTTAATCTTGTGGTTCTAAATTAAAGTTATGTCAAATGTACCAAAATGCCCTTTAATCTTGTGATCTTAAACATGTCATGTGGAAAGTTGAAGTTAAAGTGTTGCCAAAAAAAAAAAGGGGGGGTCATTCTTTTTTAAACAGACTATAAAGAAATGAGGCCATTCTTTTTGAAACGGAGGGAGTATCAAACTAGAAAATGGTGAGCAAAGGAAGAACAAAGATCTCTTCTATATCTTTTGAGATAACTCCAGTCACCAGAAACATAAATATTTGTCACTAGAGCCATCATGTGACACATTGATAATTAAAGAAAACACTGAATTCCACAGGTCTAGATCGCAGGAAAGAAGAAATGATTGGGGGGAGGGGGGTTACTGTACCCTTTTCGTCATAAGCATTATAGAATTTATTTTGCCTTGAAACACCTTTATCCATGTTTTAGTTATTTATTTATTGATGTGTGAGTGATTTGGGAAAAGAGAAGTAGGCAGAGCACGAGCCAAAAGTTACCTTTTCTAATCACAGGGGAAGCAGTCATCCCAAAAATCTTCGATCTTTTTCTGGATAGATGATAGAATTCCTTTGTTGATTATAGAGAGTGCACGGGAGCATGTCCAACAGGATGACAATAAGATGAGAAAAGTTTGAGAAGAGAAATAAGGAAAAGTCACATGAAAGAAGTGAGGCTTACCTTCATAATCCTAGCATAGGGATGGTTACCACTGGCGCGATGGCACTCGTCTAGTATCAGAAAGCACACTGTATCAAATTTTATGTAACCCTTTCTCAGTGCATCCAAGAAAATTTGGGGTGTCATAACCAAAACCTATAGTAAATGCATACCAATTAATATTTAAGACCCATCCATAAATTACTTTGAAAAGCATGGGTAGCCTTGCTAAAGAAGAAGTCAACATAAAGAAAAAGATCGCAGAGGTTTCAAGTCAAAGTAGTATGACCGAGTCCAATGTTGGATCTGATAGAGTCTACAAATTTCTAGTTGGATGCAGACTTAGAAATAGGATCACTCTCACCCCAAATTTTATCTCCTCCAAGCACATAAAATGTTGTTTCATTCTAACCCAACCCACTTAAGAGACCAAGAAAGTTGCTTTTATGGATAATAAGAGAAAGAATGTGTGCCAGACTCACAAATAATCTAAATGAGAGGAAACAGAAGACTTGTGTAATCTCGTACAATCAGGCATGCACATTTTTGCTAACTAAGATTGACTACTAAACAAATATCTAATTTCTGGTTGCCAAGATCGATCACACGAACCATTTTTTCATGTGATCAGCAAAGAAATTGGTCAGACTAGTCTGAAATTCTATGCGGCTCAGACCTGATCAGCGAATTTGGCTTAAATAGACTTTCCATCAGACTAAGATGACAAGTAACACGCAGAGAACATTGAGTGTGGCACTAAATTTAAAATATTAATCATAGATATCAGAATCTACAACCAGAAAGCGGCATGCTAGGCACAGAGTGTTCAAGTTAAATATGTTCTTGTGTAGACCAAGAAATCTAAGCACTACAATCATAAAATCATTTTTTTGTCATTCATCAACAAGTTACTGCAGTGCCCATAACCTCATAAGGGAAATAAATAACTTTTACATATAAAAATTTGAATCAAGAAAATGAAGATTTATGCATAGTGTAACTTGACCTGTTTAAGGGATTTACTTCAATGATCAACGGAAGCTCTTTGATTCTTACACGTGACTATTTGTCAAATGATAATATCTTGACTACAGAACCACAGATGAGCTAGTCATCTTGAGATTGTAAAAGTTAACTTTGCTTGGCACATATCGATTATCATACAATTATTTCAGCACAAACACCTTTAGTACAGAAAACCAAGAAAAGGGGAACCACTTACATCATTATCATCAGTTTCTTTTTTCCAGGATTCTGCATTCCATTCATCAACTCCTTTGGCCCCATAGTATTCTTGAACAGCAAGGTGTGTATGATGTTGTATAACCTCATATTGCTGCAATAATGTTGTAAATAAACAAGGATTAGCATCATCAACAATTGAACACATTCCAAAGTACCAAACTGATACAGCTCAAACTCAAACTTTAAGTTGATGCAAATCATTTAGTGCTCAAAACCCCTCTAAAGGTTATAATTTTGGGAAAAGGCATGCTCATTTAGGAGTTTAATGAATACAGCACCGTGGAAGCTCTAAAAGTTTTGAGTTCTTGAATTGGAAACAAACAAATTGCTTGTTCCAAGTTTGCTGGCAAACTGGATATGGGTCAGACAAATTAGGGTTACCTACAGTAACATCCTGGCATTGTTCGGAATCAAGTACTTTTCCTTGCAAGACAAATTCGATTACTATTTTCTTTTTCTCTCCTTTCATATCTTTTAGAGACTTCTATTTGTGTGAGTCTATAGGAGCTAGGAATACATCAATCCCGCTGCTTCATGATTGGGCTTGTCACCTCAATAAAGTGGGTGAGAACCATGAGGCCTCAGGTTCAAATCACAATAGAGACAAAAACACTAGGTGATTTCTTCTCATCTGTCCTGCCCTTGGTGGACAGAGTTATCAGGTACCTGGTGGGAGGTGGCGGGTATCCCGTGAAACTAGTCGAGGTGCATGCAAGCTGGCCCAGACACCACGGTTATCAAATGTATATATTCCTTCTTTTACTAAAAGTATCATACATTCATACTCCAATATATGAACATGGTTTAATGAAGTCATTTCTCAAAAAGGAGATAAAGACAACGGAGGGGCAGGCACATTATCCACTTTGTTTTCCACTGTACGCCACTAGCCCTAAAGGATTTCTTGGTTATTGGATAAACAAAAAAATAATAGCAGTAACACTAATAATTATGAGATAAAGACAGTGAAGGGTCATGCTTATCTAGAGACATTTTAGCAAAGTAGACATCAATGTGATTGCATTCCAGCCATTCCTTCCATGGTTAGAATGTTTTGTTTACAACATCCATTTCGATTCAACTAAGCTGACAGTTGTTCAATTTGGCCAACATGCAGATTGTCAATATTAAATTAAGGTCTTACACTATTAGCTGGTAAAATTGGAGAAAATTCTTTACTAATTGAACCTTTTTTATTAGTCATTAATAAAGCAATTGTTATGATATTTCACATACAGGTTCAAGGAAAAGGAAAGAAAGAAAAAATTGTAAGGTTCAAGGCAAAACAGGTCAACATTTAAAAGAACTCCATTGAGAGACATGCTTGCTAAGAAAAATAAACAGAGTCATTATTTTTATTTTTATTTTTGGAAACCCACTCCTCAATTCTTACCTGGACTCCTCAAGCTGAGGAGTGAAAATACATACGCAATAACAAAAAGTTACCAAGCAGAATAATGACCCTTATGGAGTTGGACCTTGGAAGTACATTAACAAGCTAAGGGAGGAATTCTTCCAAGAGGTGTCCTTCAGGATCAGAAATGGTAACTCAGTTAAATTTTGGAAAGATAGATGGCTTAACAATCAATCTCTCAATGTCTCCCACCCTGTTATTTACTCAATAGCCTCTGATACAGACTCTTCAGTGGCTCAAAACAGAGAAGGTGGAATATGGGCACCTCGCTTAAGAAGGAATTTTCGGGACTGGGAGCTTAATGAGCTCTTTGATTTTTTCATAACTCTAGAAGGAGCCTCAATGACCTCTCACTTGCCTGATCGCTTAAAATGGGGCAACTCTGAAAAAGGAATACATACAGTGAAGGAAGGATACCACAAGTTGTGCTCTTCAAATGACATGATAGACCAGAGGCCATGGAAACTGATTTGAAGTCTAAATAACCCCCTGAAATCAAGTGTTTCACCTGGACTACCCTCAGGAATGCTATCCTAACCTTGGACAATCTAAATAGGAGGAAACTTCAGCTCGTAAACAGATGCTTCAAGTCCCTCAATAGCCTGGAATCGGTGAATCATCTGTTTCTGCACAGTCCAGTGGCAGCAGCTCTTTGGAATATGTTCATTTCAATTGCTAGTATCAACTGGATTCTCCCACAGAGTGTCAAAGAAGTAGTTGGAAGTTGGAGTCTTAGAGAAGTTGATAGCCCCATCAAGAAGACCTGGCTGATGATTCCATCATGCATTTTTTGGTGTATTTGGAAGGAAAGGAATCTCAGATGTTTTGATGGTGTCTCTACTCCAATTAGCAGTTTGAAATCCTTTTGCCTTATTAACCCTTTCCATTGGATCAATTTATACCCTGTAAATTATATATTACCCCTCTTAGATTTCATTAGCTCCCTCAATATGGCTTAGCGACCATTCTTTTGCTTGTGGCTAACTCCCTGATTAGATTGGTGTTTTTGTTCTCATGAGTTAATCATGTTTTTGTGAATGTAATTTGCATCTTCTTGATGCCTTTCTAATACAACATCTTACATCATCAAAATAAAAAAACAACTTTTTGATAATTCTAGGCAGAAATCAAAGTAACTGCTTTAGATAATAGAAGTAAAAAAGAAAAAAAAACTATCCAACAACAACAGAGACTGTCTGCAATACAAATGCACATTAACTGTACAGTGTAAGTGAAAGGGGTGCTTGAAAAAATACCTATGAGATTTAGTATTGCTTGACGAAGAGAAAAACATTTGAGTATTACTTGACCAGAGAAAGAACTGAACTTTACCTAATCCAGTTTTCATCCGAACCCCCTTCAGCAGAAAACTATACTAATTATACATCGTTAAAATTACTTTTTAGGTATATGGGAGCTTCATGTGTTTACTCCCTTTGACTAGATTTATTTTTAGGTACTGATTTATTTATGTTTTTTCCAAACCATCAAAATTAAGGAAGTATGTCATATACAGGAAAACAGTAAATTGATCAAGCTTAATTGGACTTCTTTTCTTTTCCTTTTTGAGAAAAAAGGGGGGAAAGGGCACTCATTACATATACCAATCCTCCATAATCAAGAGTTTCTGAACCACATTCTCTTATTCATCAACCAAAATTCTTTTAGAAAAAAGATACATACCTGATGAACAAGATGAACAGTTGGTGCCAAGAACACAATCAACTTCTTCTCATCATCATTCCTCAACGTTTTCCCAATTTCTCTAATCATCATCACTGCTATATTAGTCTTCCCAGCCCCTGTATCCAGTACAGCAATGGTGTTCCTTCTCATAGCCACTTTAAACACCTTCAACTGATACCTGAAAACAAAAAACCCCAACATGCAATTTCAACTACATGTTTTAGCACAAAACAAAAAATTAAGAACCAAATAGTTTTGCTTACTCTCTGGGTATAAACTCCTCTATCTTCTTCTTCTTCTCTACATCCATCTGTTCAGCTTCACTACTAAAAGCTTCAAAGTTTCTCTTCAAAGGGTTTTCTTGCTTCTCCTCCTCCATTTTGTCTTTCTTCTCAAAGAGAATCCTGAAAGTCTCAACAGCAATGCCGATGGCGTGAAGAGCTAAAGTATGTACTGAGAGATTCTCTACATATACATTATATATATTTGTTAATTGTTTTATTCATCCCAATAAATGAATTTTTTGAGTTTTTGTGTAAATATGACTCAATTAATTTATTCCTTAATTTATCCTATGCTCTATTTTTGGTTGTAATAATCTATAGTCTATTTATATCAATAATAATTTATCATATGCTCTATTTTTGGCAGTAATAATCTATAGTCTATTTATGTCAATCTAATTAAATTACAAAATGTGATTAATTTGAACAACAATACTATATCAAAAAACTTTTTTTTGGTTCCATGTTATATGATTAAATTCTATTATACAAGAAATTAAAAATATTATATTATTGAGGAAAATAAATTATTTTTGTTTCTTTCAAAATTCTTTCATTTTATCATTTATTATATTTTTAGACCATTTATACTCTTATTATTAATAAGTGTATTTTGATTATTTGTAAATTATTGTCATTAATGAAACTCCACTATAAAATATAGCGAGGAAATATTCTTTTGTCTTTAAAGCAGATATACTCATCATTAAAGAAATAATGTTTGTATATATATTCTCAATATTTAATAAACGGTGCATGTATATCTTCATCGTCTAACAAATGACGTGTTTTACCCTTTTAATTAATAGACTGAATCAAAGAAATCCTAAAATTATTTATTTTTAATTTCAAATGTTATGTATCTTTAAAAAAATTCCTTACCTATTTTTTTTACTCATCCAAACTCTAGCCAATTAAAAAATCATCTTTTATTCGGACCCGACTCAGAATCATTTTATTTACAATTGAGTAGAAGAGGGTTTGGAATTATTTTTTTCATTTGGTTCGAGTCTAGGCGGATTAAATTTGGGTCTTGAATTCTTTTTTAAGTTATGTGGTATTTTTTTTAATTAAAAAAATAATTTTATATTTTTATTTTATTAATTCAATAATAAGTATATTAACAAAAAGGATAAATGTGGTTAAACAGTTGGATATATATGTGGTATTTTTTTAATAAAGGGATGTCTGGTTTAAATTGCAAAATTGAGTTAAACGGTATATTTGTTCATTTTCTTTAAAATATTTTCAAGTAGTATTATAAATTTGTATAATATATAAAATAAATGTTAATTCTACTATAATAATGAGATTAAACATTTGAAAAGTTGTACATTTTTGCATTAATAAAAGGGAAAAGGGTCAAAAATACCCCTCAATTTTGGTTTATTGTTTGATTTTACTCTTGCCGTTAAAATGAAGTTAATTTTACCCCCTTTCGTTACTAATTCCACCATATTTGCCCCTCATTTGACGGAAAGCCCAAAAGTGACCCAATTTTTTTTTAAAAAAACATTCCCTATTTTTAATCCAATGCCCCGACCCCTCTAGGATAACCCGATTAACCTGTATAACCCAATTCCCTGTTACCCATTCTCCCAATTTTTCCATATAGACCTTTACCCATTAACTTCTCCTCCATCGTTCTTCCAGCATCTCTCTTTCGGTCACCTCTGATTTTTCTTCTCAGAAAATGTTACAAAATAGTTATTCGTCTCAAAGAAAATGTGTTTGTGGTTTGGTGGTCAAAACACTAATTTCGAGTACTACATCTAATTCGAGAAGAAGATTTTTCCGATCTCCTCGTCTGGATGTAAGTATATGAACTGATTTATTCCTATTATTGAACTGATTTCATATTTCTTTGTATGAATTGATTTTGTATTTCTTCGTATGAGTTGATTTCGTATTTCTTCGTTTGAACTGATTTCGAGTATTCTTATGGCAGTTTTCTTCATGTGGATATTGGAAATGGGAAGACCAAGCTTTTCCTGAAGTAGCTTACCTACGTAAATTAGAGTCGTCGTGAAAGATGTCAAGATGAAAATGGATAATTCGAAGATTGAAATGGAGAATTTGAAGATTGAAATGGAGAACTTGAAGATTGTTGTGGAAAATTTGAACATAAAAGCAGGTCATTTGTCGGAAACAATTGCTACATTGGAGGCATCGAATGATTTGGTAGTGAAAAAAGTTAGGACATTTGAAGACAAATATCACAATATAAAGTACAAAGTTATGATTTCATGTTTTCTTTTAGTTGGATTTGTTGCACTACCAGTTCCTTCGAAATCGGTAGTCAATCATATTTTCGATAGGGGCAGTTTCCAATTGAATCAGATTTTGATCGTTGAATTCCAAAAACCTGCGAGAGGTTCCCCACTCTTCTTTGATCCGTCTTAGGACGGAGTGGAAGCCTCGACCCGGGCGAAAGTGCGATATGTTTGGAAACTCTTTCATAGAATTCCAACAATTTCTCCCGCTCCTCAAAAGCCCACAGAAACGGAGTTGATGCTCCTACATCCATAGCATGAGTAGTTAAAGTAAGTGAATGATTTGAAATCAAGTGACTTCCTTTGTTAGTGTTTACTTTCAACATCAGTTGTTAGTGTTTTGTGAATTCAGTTGTTAGTGTCTTTTGTGATGTTGGTTCCCTTTTTGTTCTTCATTTTGGTGTTGTAATGGAAGGACCTAAGTACTGATATAATATGAATTAATGTTTAGTAGTTGAAGTAATGTTCATATATTTACAGAATCTGAACAAAATTGCACATTTACAGAACCTGAACATTTATGATCTCTCTTTTACACATTTACAGAACCTGAACATTTATGATCTTTCTTTTACACATTTACAGAACCTGAACAAAATTGCAATATATCTGATATTGAAAGAAACTGATTTTGAACATTACATATATATTGATGAACACAATGAACACTTCATATATATTGACAAAAAATTGATTTGAACATAGAGAAGTTAGTTCAGTACATACCCCAAAAGAAGTTTGTGCAAATACAAAAAGCTTTTAAACACATAAACATGTTTGTGTATGACATTAGTATCTCAAAAACATGCAACAAAATAACAAAATATTGTCTTCATTACTGAACTTGTCATTGTTGTGCTTTGCCATTACCCTTTTTTGTCTTAAGTTTTTCCACTCTTGATTGCTCCAACATTTTTCCAGTAATAGATGCATTTCCCTTCCATTTAGTCCCTTTGGTGCATACAAGTCACTTAGTACACTCGAACCATCTCCAAGGAAGTTGATTTGTCTTTCTGTACGTTGTGCTTGTTTCTTTTCCTTGTTGGATCGCATCTCCATCTGATAAAAAGACCAAAATTATTATACTTTAAGCATCACACTATAAAATAAGTTACTAAATTGGCCAACTTTCATACCTTTTCCTTTCTTAATTGCTTTAACATTTTTCCAGTTTCAGATGCATTCCTCATCCATGTAGGCCCTTTTGGTGCATAGTCTTCTAGTATAGTCAAACCATCACAATCAAAGTTGATTCTTCTTGATCCAATAGGTTGTGCCTGTTTCTATCTTTGTTGAATTCTAGACTTCAACTCTGAAAAATCTCTTGGCTTCCATGGCATGTCATCCTCAACATCAAGACTAAGATCTTCATATTCATCTGATGCACAATCTTAAGTAGGCTGTGGAGTTGTCAAGGGAAAGTCCTCAACATTTTCTTCATCAATTAGTGGTATATGCCTCTCTTTTGCTTCTTTATTTTACTTGTTGGATCACATATCCATCTGATTAAAAGACCACAGTGATATACTAAGCATCACTCTTGTAAAATAAGTTACTAAATTGTCTAACTTTCATACCTTTTTCTTTCTTAATTGCTCCAACATATTTCCAGTTTCAGATGCATTTCTCTTCCATGTAGGCCCTTTTGGTGCATAGTCTTCTGGTATAGTCGACCATCACAATCAAAGTTGATTCTTCTTGATGTGCTTGTTTCTGTTTTTGTTGAATTCTAGACTTCAACTCTGAAAAATCTCTTGATTTCCATGGCATGTCATCCTCAACATCAAGACCAAAATATTCATCTTCATCTGATGCACAATATTGAGTAGGTTGTGGAACTGTCAATGGGAAGTCCTCCATTGTTGCATCAATCGGAGAACTGTCAAGGGAAAGTCCTCCACAATCTTGAGTAGGTGTTGGATACTCAACATCTTCTTCATCAATTAGTGTCATATGCCTCTCATTTGTTTGCTTTTTTCCTTTGTCACATTGTTTATCCATCTAATATAAGAAAAAATATTTCATCTTTAACATATCACAATACTGACTATACCAGAAAAAATTGTCCAGCCTTCTTACCTTTTACTTTTTTCTCTTTAACGGTCCAGCCTTGGAGGTGTTTTCACCCATCATTTGGTTCATCTGAAAAGATGGAATACATAGCAATAAGTGAGACAATTACACAAAACTGAAGTGAGACATGTAAAATAAGTGAGAACTAAAAAAAGATAGATTTTACCTTTTGCTTCTTACTCTTAAGTTGTCCAGTATTAGAAGTGTCTTTTTCACTATCTGATTAAACTGATAAAATAACAAAAAAATCACAATTACAAGATAAACTGATAAAATAACAGAAAAGTTACAATTACAGAAAAATCATAATTACAATAGCAATAATTGATTACATAGCAAATGAAATGTTTACCTTATGACAACCTCTTGCATTCTGTCCAGGAATTCCACAGTTTGAACATGCCATTTTTCTCCCTCTTCTTGGTGCAACTCATTCAGTTTGTCTCTTAAGTGCTTCATTTTTATATCTTTTCCTATTCATTCTAGGTCTGCCAGCTAAGTTTACCAATTCTGGTGGTTCCATTGCTTGTTTTGCTTCAATTTTTTAGAACTTTTGACTAGGCACTGGTTGTAGCTTACAATGGTAAGTCAAAAGATATGTCTCCTTAGAGTACCACCAATGAATCTCTTCCAATGGATCAAGATTCTTGTAAAGAAAAACCTTGATTGAATGGAGACATGGTATTCCAGTAAGATCCCATACCCTACAGGTGCATTTATTAGCTGCCAAATTGACAATGTGTCTGCCATTTTCTTCACTTACCTCAAATTCATCATCTCCATTGAAATTTAATTCACACACATTAGCAATCTTCAAAAATTCATTGTACATTTCAATAGTTGTAGGA